TTGCATCCTAGTTTTGATCCTACACCTCCGTTCTTGCCCACCGTGTATTCAAGCTGAATGATAACCGGTCCTGCCTGGACAGGTGCAATAGTGGAGGCGTCGAGAGTGAGCGTGGTCAGGCTTCCCTGACGTACTGTAAGTAGATCCAACTTATCCAAGGGCGCGATGTCTATGCTTGATTCGGTTTGTCCAACCAGCGGGTGCTCAAGCTCTGAACCAATCCCTGCTTGTGTGGTCGGCTGTTCTCGGCTGGCATCAACGCTAGACTCCAGCCTCAGCGATTCTTCTTCCACAATTCCCCCTGGCCCGAGCAGTGTGCCTAATGTGGTTGCGGAAATATCCATCGTCCACAGTGTACTTTCACTGGGCTGTGGAAAGAGAGTTCTTCGCTGCTTCGATAGCAGTGTAACTGCACTATTGCGGATGTAAGCCTCCAGACTTTGCACGAAGAGGCGCTCCAATCCGCACCGTGAAGGGAACACAGGTAACTTCCAGGCAAAGTACAGTCTTCCGTGGCAGCGCTTCGTGTACACCTTCGCGGCTTGACACAAGAATACATTGCAGAGGAAGCACGCCATCTTGCTCGAAGCAACGACTCTCGGGGCCGGCTTAGGCCGATGCGTTTCGAGGTAATACACGAGCTGTATCTCCGTGTGTATTTTCCCCTCCCGTATAGACTTGAAACACTGGTGGGAGAATGACTCTTCCGCTGTTTGTCCGTCTCGATTAAGCAAACGTGCCACTTGGGCAACACTGGTCTGGCGCCCGTGTGCAATTTGCAACCTCGTACAGGTGACAAAAAAATCCGGCTGATAGTCAACAGACAGCAGGCGAAATGCATTCCGAGGTAAGCTGACCATAACAACCTTCATGCTGCGAATGAGGGGATATTTCTTGGCAGTGCGATACAGAAATCGTGCGGCGTCACGGTATCGAGCCACTCTGCGGATCATCTTGAGCAGATTTTTTCGCTCGCTCGGGCCCATCATGGTGTTTGGAATTGAAGAAAGCATTTGCGATAAGCTATGCGAGAAAGCTGTACAACAGCTTCAACAAGGTCGCAGAGGCGTCGTTCGGTTTGGTGCTTAAGCCACATGTCGATATTCTTGATCACTGCTTTGGCTTGCTGACGAAGCTCGGGATATAAGACTGCGTCCTCAGCGTCGGGATCTATCTCGAAGTTAGATGGCAACGACCAGCGGCTTGTGGATGATGCCTACTCACTCTGCAAAACTCTGGATAGCGAATGAAAGATGTTTTCGAAGCCATCCTTGATGTCTTTTAGGAGGGGGAGGCCATCGCCATGGCGGGCTTGATTGACGGCGATGAACACCTCTGATCCATCCGTCCCCGGCTTCTCGTGCATGCATAGCGCTGGCACATGATTTGGATCTTCGCCGATATCTGAGAGAAATACAAGAGTATTCACTAAACCGCGTTCTCTGTCGAAAGGCAGAGAGTATGCTGAAGGGTTGATGTGTGCTTGCTGTTGGCAGGGGTTGATTGACGGCTAGGTCGGAACGGCGTGCGAAAGGTGCATGAAAGCGATTGCTTCAGCGCAAGCAATGTCCAGAAGATATGGAGCGATTTGTTCCATCATATGTTTTGGATTCGGAGTGTCTGCCAAGGCTGGGCATGGAAGATGGGCCTGTGAACAGATCGCAGAAGTCGTTTCTGCGAGATATGCCGCACCACATCGGTTGCCCGTCGTCGCGCCGTGGCATGCCATGGCAACTGCAAGTGGAAAGCGCGTGCTGTCACACCTTTAGCCGTCTGGTACTCTATGTCTCACCGAAGAGGAGCCTGCAAGCACAACACAAGAAGCCACACGAAGTGCGGGGTACATTCATCCTGCACGCGTGATGCCTCGTCCTGTTCGCTATCGTGCATTAGTAGTCCACCATGCGTTCGGTATTTTGACCAATCTGGAGTCCGAATAGACGAATAGACTGGCAAGTGTATGTGCAGCGAAACCAATAGCTGCAACGTGTTGGGGCGGAGGTAGTCCATCGGCGTCCGCAATGCTATCCTTCGCGTACTAGCACGGTAAGTTAGACTTTACGCAAAGACCATCTGCACGAAATTCATATCCTCCTCATATGTACACACGTTCTTTGCATCTGCGACTGGAGCATCATGAGTGACATAGTAAGCTGTCCAACTCGCGCGATCAGGGGTCAACAGTAACATTAACACTGGAGCGCGCAGCACCCCGACCTCGCGCATATTTCTGATGTGATTATTAGTATGCGACGCGAAATTGGGATACTGAAGGCCGAAATAACGGAGCGCTTTGATCAAAATGCAGCCACCGCGGCTGCGTTGCACGACCGCATTCAGCAGGCAGAGAAGAACCTCATTACGCACTGTGATATCGATGCACTGAATGATGGCATCGCTCAGTCGCGAATTGTCCTCAATGCCGTCGCCACTGATGTTGGCGCATGCCGTCAAGGCGTTCAGACGATCAAAGACGTCGTCGCAGCGTGCAAACAGGCTGTAGAGGAATCGCAGCTGCATTTACGGGACAGAATCAGCTACGCGCAAACCGGTATAAAGCAGGCAATAACCACAGCTCGACAGGAACTCGGTACGGCAATCACCACACTACAAGACAGCCTTCTTGATGCCGTTGGTGGAGTGGGGCGCGAACTGGGCAAGGGTATAAAGTCTCTAAATGAGGCTGTCGCGAGCGTTGTAGGCGGTTTCGAGGGACAACTCAGTGATGCGTGCGAGGTCATCATCACTCAGACTAGCCTCACCCGTGCACCATCTCGCGAGGTGCTTGGTGGCAAAATGCGTGAGATGCGGGGCGTCATCGAACATACGCACACTTCTTTGCAGAATCTGCCGCGAACTTTGAAAATCAGCCTCGCCGAAGCAATGAAAAATGCTGCTACCGTTGCGAGCGACAACACAACGAGGAAAGTCCAACAGAGGCTGAAGAACCTGTATGAGGAGCTGCGTGACAGGATCCAGGACGTTCAGCTGGAGATGCGGGCCGGGCACTTTAACAGCGCTGCGCGTCTGGCAAACAAAGCTATCAAGCTGCTGCACAAGCACAATCGTTAAATTGCGAGGGATCGACAACTTGCCCATTCGTACTCTTCGCAAGACTTATGCTGACCTACGGGATCTTCAAGGTGAGCACCATCACAGAAGATGACACAGCGAAAAGTTAGTCGCGACTACGATCAAGTTCCTGATTGTCGGCGTCTATAGGAAACATCGATGACATTCTTGAACGCTTGCAACTGAATACAAATGTCCCGTACGCAAAAAAAACGCCAGCAGCTCAAAGTATACTTGGGTCTGCGAAAGTAGCAATATCGCCAGCCGATTCTTGTGATTGACTACACTCTTCAACACTGAACAGCTTCTAAGAACGCATACTGAGAAGTATTTCAGCTGAACTATGACGAGATTCCTCATCAGGAGCATGCATTGACTTAAACTAAGAACCCCAAGTGCAAACGCATTGGTCTCTTACGTCATACCTCGCGTTATTTGGATCGCCCCAGTACCACCCCGCCAGTTGAGGCAATAGCGGCCCCGGCCGCCTGGACAGCCGTATTTACGGCCGCGATGCCATACTCCCCTGCCGCTGCGCTGCAGCGTGGCGAAAACACTACCGCCAACTACATTGCCGATGCCGCTTTGCACGGCCGCGGCTGCAGATCCTGAGACCTCTGTTATCTTTATCGACTCGAGCAGATTCATCTGATGCATTGACTCTTACCTGCAGCGACCCTGCTACCAGTGAAACCGGCCGCGCTAAGAATCGGGGCCGCAACAAGGCTAGGTGCTGCTGCTATGCTAGTCCCTATCAAAAGAGCACCCACTGTAGTTGGGTGGGCAGACGAATAGTTTGAGGCCTGTGATTATTTGAGCGTTTTGCCACGCGGTTTCGACGTGCTCTTACCCCTCGCAGAGTTGCAACAGCCCCTTCCTTGATTGCCTCTCCGGAGCGCGAACAGACCGCCGTTGCAAACGCGGGAATTTGACTGTCTTTTGTGATAGCTTTGGCAGGGGGTGCTGAGACACCATTCCAGCGAGCAACCGTTGGCCAACTGGTGGTGCGCTATAGATTGAGAGTCTAGGGCTGCCTAGTGGCCCGAGGCCACATGCAGCATGTAGACAACCGTGTCAGCATAAGATTGGACCATTTCTGTGTGGCGCGACCTCGTATTTATGCAGCCAGCTATATCGATATGGGCGTATAAATTGACCGGTTCTGAAGTTTCGAAAGAGTCAGCAGCTGAAAGTTTGTCTAAGAGCGCTGGCAGCCTTAAGCTGCTTGGCTAGCACTGCTGGTCCTGTATTGGTCGCTTGAGCCAAAGGTGAAGAGCAGCCCAGCCTATACACCCGCCAGGAGACGGGCGAGTGTGCCTGGAGCACTTGGCCGACCCGTGCGATACAGAACCTTGATGCGACAAGTTGGCGTTGTGGGAGCCTTGCGAGTAGTAGCTTGCCGAAGCGAGGTTGGCCGTGGTCCCACTTCCCGTGGCTGTGGACCCTTTAAGACGGCTAAGCCAGCGGCAAGGTTGATAAAATGAGGATAATGCCCGAGACTGCGACGATTGGAATCACAACACACCGCACAATTGCCCTTCTCTTCTAGAGGTTGTCGACGCGTTTCTACACTGTAATCAAAGCGAACTCCGCCCGCAAAACTTCCGCCGGTGATCCTTCACTGCTGATTCTTTGGCACGAGAGCGAAGTCGGAAATATGAGCTTGGGGTTCCACATCAGCGATTTCATTACATTTATTGAGCTCGCGAACCGAATACGCAAAGACTTCATCGATGCTCCGAGCCAATTCGATCGCATTTCCAGCGAGTAAATTTTTCACGATGGTGAAGATGATATATTGCTAATCACTTGACTCTCAGCCTCAGGAGTCTCTCTATCGTTCTGCAAGATACCGAAATTGTCTTATCCGGCTGCGAGACCGACGAAACACAGAAAGCGCATCTACAGGAGATTGCCTATCGCTGGCACGAAGCCCTCCTCGATCTGGAAAAGGCCGTCGGCAAGTACAGTGAGCTAAAGCCTGCCGGCCAAAACATCGAAGAAAAAGTCAAGAGGGTATGGAAGAGACTTCAATGGGAACCACAGGACGTCCGGGACGTTAGATGCAAAAAATCTGTTTAAAGTTGCATTATTTACAGAGAAACTTACATGGAATGTTTCACTCCTCTCTGCATCCGTCGAGCAGCTTTCAAGGTGATCACAAACTTTACCTGTTGGCAGAGTGTTACCAGCTAAATGAAGATAGTCGAACGATCTTCGCTGCAAAGAGAGGAATTGACTACCTGGCCCATCAGCAAGAGAACCTAGAGCGACTCGCCATTCTCGACTGGCTTACCAAAGTCGATTATGCCCCTTTGCAGAGCAACTTAATCAACCAAAGACAGCCCGGGACTGGACAATGGCTGCTAGACGCGCCGGAGTTCCAGACTTGGCAAAGCTCCGAGAAGGGCACCTTATTTTGCCCTGGTATTCCGGGAGCGGGGAAAACCATGCTTACCGCAACCGTGATCGACAACCTCATAACTCACTTCACGAACGATGAAACAATTGCCGTTGCGTACATTTATTGCGACTTCCGGCGGACACAAGAGCAGCGGGCCGAGGATCTACTTGCAAGCCTTTTGAAGCAATTAGCACAAGTGCAGCCCTCTCTGCCAGATATTGTGACTTTGTTGTACCACGAGCACCTAAGGAAACGGACGCAGGCATCATTTGACGAAATCTCGCAAGCTCTGCGGTCAGTGACTGCAATGTATTAGAGGGTGTTCATCATCGTCGATGCACTAGATGAATGTCAAATAACCAATGGATGCCGGTCAAAGTTCGTTGGTGAAATTTTCAGGCTCAAAGCTGAGTGCCCCGTGAGCTTCTTCGCAACGTCAAGGTTTATTCCAAGCATAACGGACAGGTTCGAAGAGAGCGCGTCGTTGGAAATTCGTGCTACTGCTGAAGATGTGCGGAGATATGTTGGAAGCCGCTTATCGGAACTACCCTCGTTTGTGGAACGTAGTTCGGACTTGCAGAAAGAGGTTGTGGCTGGTATAGTCAAAACTGTTGATGGAATGTACGTCATCGTGGACTTTTTCATGGAAAGAGGCTAACTTTTAAGTAGGTTCTTACTTGCAAAGCTACATCTGGAGTCACTAATCGAAAAAACAACCCCCAAGGCTATGCGAGCCGCTATTGCAAAGCTGCCCTCAGGATCGGACGCATACGACAAAGCATACTATTCTGCGATGGAAAGAATTGAAGGACAATTAGACGGCCACCAAAAATTAGCAAAGGAGGTGTTGTCATGGCTTACGTGTGCGAGGAGACCTCTCAGCATTACGGAGCTTCAGCATGCACTCGCAGTGGAGTTTGGCGAGCATGAGTTCGACGAAGAGAACATTACGCAACTGGAAGACATGATTTCCGTTTGCGGCGGATTGGCTGAAGTCGACAAAACAAGTGGCCTCATCAAAATAGTGCATTATACGTTGCAGGAATTTTTCGAGCGAACTCACCGTCGTTGGTTCCCGGATGCAGAATCACGAAACACGAGAGTATGCGTCACGTACCTCTCATATACAGTATTTGCGAGTGGTTTCTGTCACACGGATACCGACTTTGAAGATCGGCTACATGTCAACCCATTCTATAACCATGCGGCGCGAAATTGGGGACATCATGCTCGTGAGGCTCTGAGCCTACACCAAGAAGTCTATGAGTTCCTAATAAGTTTTAACTTGATCGAGTCGGCTAGTCAAGCGTTGATGGCGGTGAGGGCGTGGCCTGGATACTCAGGTTTTAGCCAAAGAGTACCACGGCAGTTGACAGGGCTTCACTTAGCGGCACATTTTGGGATCGAGAAAGCTGTTGAGACTCTGATCCAGCATGAAGCTGATGCTGACGCGAGGGACGACGCTGATCGAACGCCGCTGTCTTGGGCTGCCGCAAGCGGGCATGAAACTGTTGTCAAGCTACTGACGATGATTGATTACGTTGAAGTCAACTTGCAGGATAACAATGGTCGAACGCCGCTATCATGGGCTGCCGAGTTCGGGCAGGAAGCAGTTGTGAAACTGCTGTTGGCAACAAAATATGTGATTGAGAACAGCAGCCTCGGATTAGCATCGAGTATTGCCTGCTCAAGCGGGACGACAGACTTTGCGGGCCTCTTTCCTCGGAAGATGGTCAACGCCACATTGGCGGACAAAGCCGGGCGAACCCCATTACACTGGGCATCGGAGAATGGTCACGTCGAAGTATTGAAGCTCCTCATCGAATACAGGCCGCCCGCGTTACCGGCGAACAGAGGAGCGACCAAAAAACATGCGGCAGATGTGCCAAGCAGCTTGAACATGAGCGATACGACCTCGAAGACGCCGTTACATTATGCGGCCCTCCACTCTTGGACAAACTGCGTCCGCTTGCTGCTTACCCGAGGCGCAAAGATAACCGCAGATATGGACAATATGACTGCCCTACATTATGCTGTGTCAAAATCAAGCAAAGAGATGGCGCGATGCTTTCTGGACGCCGGCATCTCGATATATACTGGGGTACAGAGGCGTGATTGGTCGGAAGTTGATTCAGAAATCAAGGCGCGATGCGAACCGCATAACAGCAGTTCCTCTGTGGTGGATTGCAGCAGTCAGCGTGGGCTCACAGCCCTGCACTATGCAACCTTGGTAGGATGCGAGCAAATGACCGATTTGTTCCTCGCTCACGGGGCAAATCCAAACCTTCATAAGGCTATCAGCTAATACTGCTAGTTCTAAGCGTGATTTTGCACCATTCGGCTTTGGTTTTCCCAGGGTATGAGGTGTGTAAACCTCGCTCTGCGAGCGTGGTGAGACGTCGAATATTGTGCTCTCAAAGTCATAGAGAATGCCCACGCCCAGGCAAATGGCCTGGGAGCTACGCAATTGCTGTGCAGCGCAACGCCAAGTTACCAGCAGCTGTATTTAAGCCCCGCAATGACGTGGCCTAAACGAACATTAACTTGCCAGCGGATCTGCCGTTTTTTGCTGTGGCAACAACCACGACCATCGACGAGCTCCAGTTCGGGTTGTAACCTATTTCAACTGCCATATCACTCGCAGCGCCGTTGAACAAAGGTGCTGGTGTCGATACAACCCACCTCCCCTTTCGAAGACGTGGTTTGGCCAGCTCTACACCATCGACAAAGACTTCCAGGCTGTCCAGCCCTTCAGATGTACCGACATCGACAGATCCAGAGATGTGAATGAAACCGTGGAAGCGTTTTGCAACCGCCGTTAGTTTCGGTGGTGACGAGGCATTCGCGACATGTCCATGTCCGGCGATGGTATCTGTTTCCAAAGCCGGGGTCCGCAGTGGACGGATTCGTTTATTGTGCGCATACTCAAAGGAGTAGGCGTAGCTCAGGAGAGAGTGGTCATCGTAAGCCCTCGATACAAACGTTAAAGAAACTGGCATGCTGGTGCTGTTCATGGTACCCATCGTGACGCTAACGGTTGGTACGCCGGACTCACGGATGACATCGTTGCCATTGGAATACAGAACACCATTTCGCCAAGCAAAGTCCGCCGACGTAACATTAGTCTCTGAATCAGAGCGTGCAACATCGCCAATTGAAGGAAATACAACCGTATCGAGCGAGTACGTACGCATCCAAGCCTCGAGATCCCTCTTTCGTCGGTTCTCTACAAGGTGGAGCGTTGCGTTGATTCCTGGTAGGTCAAGGATGCTACTGTTCCGGCGCCTGGCAATCTCAATCAAATCAGCCGCGTGGGCAGTGCGGTTGAACCATGCCCCGCCATATCGGTCTTCTAAAGTACCTGGAAGTTGCGGAAAAATGCGCTCTGGATTGACGTTGATAAGTCTGGAGACGCTCGAGCTGTCGTTATTCATTCTCAAAAAGTCGTCCCAGGCGTAAGCAGTCAAATGCAGGGACAAGTCACCCCACGAGTGGTCGCGTCTTCCTGGCTGTGGATACGATATGTTTCTCAAATTTGAAGTTGGCTTTGTTTCATAATTTGTGACCAAAGGAAAGTCAACTTCTACAACAGTCGCACCCAGCCTCTCCAATGTCGTACGTGCACCTTTCCAGAGCTGGCGCACGTCTGGGCTGACCCAAACGGGTTGCGCGGCTTGGTATTGCTCGCCGATAAACATTTTTGGAACGCCGACTCGTTTGCCACGGAGTGCGTCGGCGTTGGCCAATCTTAGAAAAGAAGTGCAGGGCCGGACAGAGGAAACCGGCGGCAGCTTTAGGAAAGGCTGAATTCTCCAAAAATCACCAGCCGTGTCTTGGTCCTCCACAACAACCACATCCAAAAGGCCAAGCAAATCCTTCACAGTTCGTGCCATTGGCACCAGCACATCAGCGATCGGAAACAGTGGCCAGTTTCCGCGCACAGATATGAGACCACGAGAAGGCGTATATGCCACGAGTCCATTATTCGATGCAGGCGACCGACCTGATGAAATAGTCTCTTCGCCCATTGCGAAAACTGCGAGGCTGGCAGAAGTAGAAGTCCCGCCGCCATTTGTAGAGCCTGAAGCATACGCAGCTGTGAGGTAGTCTGCGTTGTAAGGACTCTCGGCTCTCCCGTAAAGTCCGAGCTGCATGCCTCCGTTTGCCATTGGCGGCATATTAGTCTTTCCCAGAATTATACCACCGCCGTTTCTGATTTGAGACGTAGTAAAGGCATCATCGGTTGCAGATAGTTTCTGGAATGCCGGTGAGCCTGCAGCAACTGTGAGACCTTTCATCTTGTAACTGTCCTTGATGGTGCCGGGAATTCCTTCTAGAATTGAGCGAATAGATCCATTAGACTGGGCCCGGTAGTCATCTGATGCTTGCGCTTGCTCGAAAACATAGGGGTCCAATACGGGTATAGAGTGCAGCCTGGGACCTCGTCGGTCATACAGCGCTATTCGATGTAGATGCTTAGCCACAAGTTGAACTGCATTAGTCTGACCGGCAGACAAAGCTGCTTGCAGTTGCTCAATGGTAGCCTCAACGATAGTCAGGTTCTGCATATAACAAATCAGTTTTATTCAGGAGAAAAGGATGTCTCAAGGGACACCTGACGAGTAACTTACATCAGCGGAAGCTACCAGAGGTAGTACGAGAAGTGATAGCCGCGCCAGTTTCATATTGCAAAAGCGTGGCTTAGTCAATTGGCTGAGGAGAGAACGTGTGGCCGAGTTTGTCCCACTTCTTTGCCGTGGTGTGCGGTGCAATTCGCCGTACTTGCGAGTTTGCTTAGCGCCTGGGGAGTTTGGTTTCGGGAGCAGTGCCTGATATATGTCAGCCCCAGCCTGGTCACGTGTTTAGAGCGTTGGCACACGGGTGTATGATAGGTTACTGATATGCCATGTCTTGTTTGTTTGTTTGTTTGTTTGTTTGATTAATAGAGTGTCCCAGCCGCCTCGTGGCAGCTATGCAGCGTACGGCTATCAATACAGGTGCTCCCAGTACTGTCTCTCTTACAGGAAGCTAAGCTTGCCAGGCGGTTCCTGGAAAAGAGACTTTTCCCTATCAATCGACGGGATCTATAGTTGCCCTCTACCAATAGCTACTCTGTCTGTTCTGTGTCTCTGACTTTTCAGGCCCTTCCCAGCCCTCCTGAGCTTCTGTATAACCAAAACTACTCGTCTGCGCCGTGTTTTATGAGTACTGTAGACAAGGCCGACTGGGTACACCTAGAGAGCCCGTCCTGATGTTGCTTTGTTGTTTGTAATTCAGCAAATAATTAAGCCGCCAGTGCAACTGTCAGCTGCGATCATTCGGCGTTTCATGGAGGAATGATTGCAACGCTAGCAGCACGAAAGATTGAGGAGCTTTCGGAGCAATGTTGGATCAGGACCACCGACCAAGAGCACGTGAAAGCCCGTACTCGCATCGTTGTCCCATGGTGAGGCCCCAGTCTACCCTAGCTGGCTACTTGTGGTGACTCGTAATATGGCTGGCAATATCGAATCTGATTTCTTCAATCTAGCCGTCTGCGTCAGTCAAACTGGCGCCGCTGACCTTGCCTAGGCTACTTCTCTGTTTGGACCAAAAAAGAAAACCCCCCAGGCTCCGCGAGGACGAAAGCACTGCAACAAAGCAATGGAACCCATAGATGAAGTGGCACCTGAAACCAAACGCTTTCGGTTCTCGAGCCGCGATCGCGCTTCTCAACAGCCGTATCACAGCCCGTTGACTCAGCCGCTCATCAGGTCCAGGCCACTTCAAACTTTCATCTCCCTTTTCGGCCAAGTCGATTGGGCTTAAGCCACGAGCATCTTTCAGCGTTGGATCAGCCCCAGCAGCGAGTAAGTGTCGCACGACCTCTTTCCTCCGCATCTGCGCCGCCATCAACAGCGGCGTCTTCCCCTCCCAACCAGTTGAGTCCCTTTCTACCCCTGTATGTGCAAGTAGTAGCATAACAACATCGACGTGGCCGTTCGTCGCGGCTGACGCCAACGGCGTATTGCCATAGACGTCCTTGCGGTCGGCATCGATAGCCTCGTGTGATAGCAATGCTTGCACGGCCGCTACACGTCCTTGAGATGATGCCAATGCCAACGCTGTTCGACCGAAGCCATCCTGATGGTTGGGATTCACATCCGGATCTGCAAGCAGCACCTTCACTACCAATTCGTGCCCATTTCTGGATGCCTCCGATAACGGCGTATGACCAGCCAGGCCCGCTGCTTGCCTATCCAGCTTCTGAAACGTACTCAATCTGTAAGTCAGCTCATCCGCAGGCTCGACCGTTGGTACGCCGACCTTGAGCAGCAGTTGGACAACAGCATCGCGCCCTGCTCCAGCCGCGCATAGCAGTGCAGTCCGGCCAAACTTATCCTTGTGGGCCGTATCAATGCCCGCAGAAAGCAATTCTAAGACCGAATTCAGGTGGCCCAGCGCTGCCGCTATTATCAGCAGATTCCGACCACGGTTGTCGTATCGATGGTACTCGTGAAAAAAAAGGCTGAGAAAGCGATGACACGTTCGTATGAGGCAACTGGCATCTTCTCTCTCCAGAAAGTCCACCATCTGAAGAATAATCTCGTCTGGAAATTCTGTAAGGCACCGTTTTTTAGCGTGAGCTTTCTGTTCTATCGCTTGGGGACCTCTCAGTTGGCGATCATGTTGGGGTCCTCTATACACGAAGTCCATCATCTGGCTGAACTGTGGGTGTCTCGATGATTGGTGGAGAGCTTGTTTCCTTGTTCCTATGAGACGATTTGTTGGCCACCTGCGAGGTCACCCTGGTCAGGGAAGATTGCGCGGAATCGTGCTTGAATTAAAAGGCTGAAGTGCACGCCGCGCGGCATGGCACTAGAGCCAGGCCAAAGAAGATAAATTCAAAACACGGGCGTGAGTGTCCTGTCTTAATCCGAGTAAGACAAAAAAATACAAAAGCGATGGGTGTCTTATGACGTGGAACGCACGTCTAGCTTGCATTGACTGAGATTCACGGGCGGACTGCGTAGGCGCTGCCTGACAACCTCGCCTTCTCAATTTAGAATATATTTGACTGGTGGGGAGCGTGATCTGTCAGCTGCGGATTCCTATCTGTTATACACCAGGTCTTGAAGGGGTGTTAGCGTTTAGTAAGAACTGTCTCTCGACGTGGCCACACACTGTCTCATACGGCTATTGATCTGGCGGGCGAAGAGCACTGATCACATGCGCAGAATCTTGAGATAGGAAGGGCTATATCCAGGTACGATTTGGCGTGGAACGAAGTCCTGCGAATCCGATGCTCTCAGTGCTTATGTTTTATCTCACAGTGTATTTACGCAGTTCCATTCAGCGCTACCTCGCCGTGATCTGAGAGCTGCCGCTTCCTTTTTCGCTAATTAGGACTCAGCGCACTATTTTCACTTTCACTTTACACGCTGGCAATAATCTAGAGCGCATCACTGCTATAAATCCGAAAGGAGTCAGTTGCTCAGAAGCTAACTCTGCTTGCGTTTAACGAAACTCGCACGGGGGGATGGGGTCTGTTAAAGTGAGCGGATGACGGCCGCCTTCACTCATTGGCGTACACTATTGGTATACCGCTGAATACGAGTGACGAACTCGCATGGTCTTGACACGATTATAAGACATTTAGTTCGAAACCGCAGTTCAGAATCGAAGTACTCCGTTGCGGAGAAGTATTGATCAGAATGTCTTCGGAGCTATTCCACCAACGCTGAATAATTCTCGCGGCTGGATGGCGAAGCCAACGATTATTTTGTTCCAAGTGTACCCAATAGGCAAAGCACAGATGCTTCGCCAAAATAGCGCAGATCTGAGCAACTAGTTAGCTTGGAACGGTGGCTTAGGTTCTAAGTCTCAGAAGCCTGTTTCTTAGGAAGTAGGTCGGTTGGAAGCTACACAGCAGCACGCCGAGCAGTATCGTAGGCGTAAGTCCGTTAAGAGTAAAACTCTTCATAGTGAAACTATGGCTCATATTTATCAATAGAGATCTAACTACATAGACTAGCTGGTCTTTCTCATCCTGAAATATTCATCCTGATCACTATTGCTCACCTCTGCTCTGCAGGCATTTGGTTGCCTGAGGCGTTCCGTGAGGCTTATCAGAGAGGCTAGCTAGGGAACAGAACTATGCATGACGATGGCTTATTCATCGCCCAACACCATTTAATTCGTTTTCATTTACTCGACCGCTGCGAAAATGCCCGTGGAAGCATAAATGGGGACTGCTAGTATACGGGAGCACAATTATTATGGGATAAAGCTTGCCTTGGTATCCGTGAGATCTTTGTATTGCCCACCAGTAGGAGCGCCCGGCGGCATGAGCCTGTCAGCGCCTACGACCGTTGGCAAGGGCCTGGAAAGCTCGAGCACTCTCGCACCGGGACAAGGGATAAGAACTTGAATGCATACCTCTCGCCACCGCTGGCGTGCGCATGATTAGGACTAAGACGCAACCCAGGTCCGCAACTGGTAGGGGGAAGGCGGATCGTGTTGTTTTATATTCTGGAGCAAATGGCAAAGAGCGGTCGCGGATCTAGCCTCCTCCTTATGCTGTCTTGCCAAGGCCTACAGGCGGCTGCCACTAGCCTTCGACGCTAATCCAAATCACACTATACGATGCTCTCGTAGGTGCTGGCACGCTACACCCAGCACGTACCGTAGCCCAGCCCGGAAACGCCAGTGCACCTCGAGTCCCAGCGTTCACTAGAGCATTCACTAGAGCCGCCATTCACATGGCAAACATCGCCTAGCAGTAAATGCTTCTTGCACAAGTTGAGCAGATCCACAGACCCAGGACATCCACCAGCTCAGAACGACACTTGACAGATACTCTAAAATTTTGAAGAATCGAGTCCCCATGGCTCAGACGGCTGCGGCTTCGGACTTAGCGTTGAAGTAGAGTGGTGATGTGCGGTGCAGCTTTGGCGTCAGAGCCCTTGAATACGCTTTTGTGCCGTCTATTGTCGTGGACAGGGCGTCGTCGCTTTGAGGACCAGTAGGTTCCGGGTCGGACTGAGGCGCGCAGGCACACCTCTCCAGGCATCTGCTGCCCGCCTGGCCGAAACGTTAATATCGTCAAATTTTGAACCAAGATATCTATCAAAACCATATAATAGATGAACGCGATGAATCAACGCACCACAGGGGATCCCCGCGAATCACGAAAGCTCCTACGGGCCATGAAGATGCGACTCTGCGAAAGCAGCGCTTGAAGCGGCCCATCGCTCCTCGCCTTGGGGCTTGCTTGAACAAACGTACCTGGGAACACCTGCGTGGATGCGCATCACTGGTTGCACCTTATCTGGTATGTCATATTTATATTTCCTGGGCTATCTCGTGGCCACAGTCTTTGGCGGAAGCTGGGATGGCGTAGCGCTGGCCTCTGGCTTTCACGCCTTGCCAAAATAGACGCAAGCGAGCTTCAAGATGCTGATTGCGTTTCCCTTTGCCTTTAATTCCATCAACGGGGTCAAACAGCCTAAGTACGATGCAGGATTCTAATACCCACTTGTGACCATCATAAGGGCAGACCGTTTCTTGTGGATCAGCAGCTTCCTGACATCTCTTGGTATGGTGAATTGGCTCTAGAAATGTGCATGATCAGTGCAAGGGAACTTGAGATGTTCGTACTTATTTTGTGTAACGGAGGCTTTCCTGAATCCGTGCAAGATCTTCACCGCACTGCAACGTCCACGAGATTTGTACTGGGCTTTGTTGTCTCTGCTACTTCGATCCTCGACAAAAGTCTGAACAGGTATCATAAATATTAGGGCTGTCCGGATGGAAATCTATTACTCGAATTATCAACAGTAGACTTGCCATAAACTCTATGAGTTAACTAGTCTTCCACCATTCGATGTCAGTGCGCCGTAAAGAATTCGTTCCACAGTGAACTTCCCCTCCCCGAACGTGATGGGACATGTAATCATCGATAAAAACTACATTTAAGCCGGCGTCTGTATACACCTTGCGAATCTCACGCTCAAACACGTCGACACCATCCACTTGAGGGCCAAACGGTTTCGGGGCAATGTAGTGCTGGTCCAGCAGAAGACCGTTGACCGCTAGAGGAAAGAAGCCTTGGAGCTGCCTCTCACCGGGTATGGTGTGATGAAGGCGTGCTGGTAGTCCGTCTGGGTCGGCAACCCAATCGTATGTCACATCTCGCCAAAGAGCAGGCACGCGCAGGACATCTGCGTCGCTGATGGGCAGCTCCTCACGGAGCAGCTCGACATTGCGATCAATAAATTTCTGAGCATATTCATTGGTATTAGCAAAATCCTTTTCCGCAAGCAGCATCTCGACCGTCTTGTTGGGTAAGTCGTGGTCGGCGAATATTGCCCACGGGTCGCTAGTTATGTCCCCCGTGTAGGTGAGGAACGGCACGGCGCCATGGCCGGTCTCGTTGATGCGATTGAGAATACGCATCGCAGAGCGTGTATCGGGCACGGCAACACGAAATCCGATTGTGTTATTGTACGGTAGAAACTGAACAAACTCGTCAACATGGCCGGCTACCAGCCACCCTGCCTCCAGATAGAGCGGCGTCTGCTCACGCTGCGCCTCAAGAAACTTGGTCAACGACGCGGCTGGATACTTGTCATAGTGCTTGCCCAGAACAACCCGTCCATTCTTGTAAGAAACACCAGAGCGAGAAGTGTATGGCGGAATTGTTTCAATGTTGCCGCCAGAGTTGATCTCTTCCCAGCCAAACCCGGACCCCGATCCCGGCTGCCAGCCGCCCACACCGGCTCCTCGTAGTTTCTCAAAGACCAGACGGCCATTAGATCGACTTGACTGCGCTGATCGCAGTAGCACTCTAATAGATATGGGGCCATGGGGACCAGGCATGCTGGCAAAGGCTGGCTCCATGAAGTCTTGCGCCCAGATGCCACGGCTGGAATTCAATAATAGCAGGGTAACCGCGGGCGCGAGCTCGTGGATGGCATCTCTGAGAGAGTTGACGAATGCGCCTTGCCATTTCGACTCCTCGGTCTGCATGGTAACAACTGCGTCCATGCTTTGGAGATGGTGGTGCAAGAGGACAGGCGCTTGCCTCATAGCGACAAAGTCACTACCGCTCCGCATCCCATCCGTGACCTCGAATTCGATATTGACTTGCCCATCCCATACAGCTTTGTCGCTGACCAGGTGCCTTGCGTCAACGGCAAGAGTCAGCCCCGCAGACAAAGCTGTGCTGTTGAATAGCAGCTCAGGCTTCACAGGTGCCCAGTCAGATGAGCTGTCATCATTCCTGTGCTTCCAGAACAGGCGGACATGCTCAGAGGCCGACAGTGGCTGCACGAGAATCCTGGCGGTCGCATTCTTTGACAAATCGGCCAGTGGCAGGGTCTTGACCGGGGCTGCCAATGTACTGTTGATCAGCACATCCCCCGCGGCGTCGTTGCAGGCTGCGAGTTCCCGATTGCTGAGTGGTGTCCCGACGACATCGTGCACGTGGCAGCGATGAAGCTCGTCGCCAATATTCGGCAGAAATATTGCGCCGTGATAAGTAGTCCATGCGTGCTTTCCGTATGTGTCGAGTTTGTCAACATGACCGTCTCTGTTTGTGTCGGCGAGGATAGTGACAGGAATGTCCAACTTGACAGGGTTGATGGTCTTCTGCGGGGTGCTGAAGCTTGCAGCCACCGTCGAGACGGCGACGTTGCCAGCCAAGTATCCAAGAACTGTAGGATGCATCTTCGCGGTGCAATCCTCTGAGAGTCTTCAGTCTGCTAAGATAAAGGAAGAGATCTCCTCTGGGAGCAAAAATGATCCCTTTATCATCGTCTCTCACCGACTTGTTTGTTTGTTTGTTTTTTTGTTTCATTATTTGACATCAGGGGATATCTATGTGAAGGCGAATGGCGCCCGCCGCGTAACTACTGAAAACTTGGCTCTGTCGCCTGACCCAGAAGGTGTCAGGTTGAGAAGTACAACGGAACAATCGTCACATCGTGCCACATCGCTTAGCCATCTAAGGCAGCATTTCTAGTTGCACAGGTGGAGGGTGGGCCTAGCTGCAAAAGAAATGCTGCCTTAGATGACTACGTGATGTGGCACGATGTGACGATTATCCCGTCGTAAGAAGAACCTAGTCTGTTCCGTGGCACAGTGCTTACGCAACACTCGAGTTGCATGCTCATGCCCGTGGTAGCTTATTTCGGACATACTATGCTAGTATCTCTGCGGCTGAGGTACGGTAGGGAGGTAGATAGCTCGTCTTGCAATTCCTGAAAGGCCAAAAGACAACATGAAGTTTGCGTAGTGCCAAATATTGTTTGCATTGCCGTAGTCCAAATTTGCCAATTTAGTATGCCGAAATATATCCCCTAAAAGAGTATCACTCTTCCTTAGGCATAACGAATAATGATCACTATTACTACGCTGGTAGCGCAGCACCCTCGCTAAGAATTGAGTGATTGAAGATGTGTTTCGGGCGCCGGAAGCAGAACGCTTTCACTTTGTCCTCTGCTCGGATCGCGATCAAGAAAATTATAAGGCATGAACCATATGGAGCTGGCGCTTGTATGCTGCAGCGTGTTCGGGATATCACCCGAATGAGGAACGTGGTGATTGCCCAGATTGAACCATACGACCCTGCCGTGACAAGCAGATTAGCTACGCAGCATCTCAAAGGCACGCTATCAGACACTTACAAATCCTCCTGCACCACGGTCTCTCCGTCGATGAACTTGCCAAAATCAATCATCGGGTCCTTTGTGATGTAGACGCTTTCAGGTGAGCTGCTCCGCGCCTCCGTATCCTTTTGCCGCGATATCCAGAGGTCCTTTAGCGCCCACTCCGCCGCCCGGCCCAACGTCGGGGATCCTTGGAACGTGAGGTGCGACGGCGCTCCCAGGCCGGTTCCGGGCATGATGCGGTAGCCTCGCTTCTCGCCCCAGCGATTCGACGAGTCGTTGTTCGAGACGACAAAGTGGGAGCCCGCGTTGGCCGGCCAGTTGAGGCCCGTCTCGGTTTCCACGACTCGCCGAGTCAGCTTCATTGTGTTGCGTGGTTTACCAGGGGCCCACGGGTACTGGACGGTCGCGGGCTCAATGCCGACTCTCACGAAGGTGTTTTGTTGACCAAGAATGTCAAAGTCTGCCTTGAAGTTCAGAACGTGGTCGTGGAGGTTGGTGGCGAGCAGGTCGTGGGCACGATACCCATAATCTTCACTCTCGCCTGGCACGTAGTAGGTGCCTTGAATATACCCGCTGGCTCGAAATTTGACCTCTATACTTCCATCTAGATAGAAAATGTACTCTATGGTGTAATCGTAATTACCAACCGTGGAAACTGTCCTGACCACAAAGTATATGTTCTTGGAGACACTTACATATGAGTCGGTTGTGTGACGTTGAAGCGGGTAGTCGGCCTGATTTTCAAAGAAACAAATCGCGTTGCGATGAGTGTTCATCCTAGACTGCGCCAAGAAATGAATGTCCATATATTGCGCTTTGTCCGGGCAGTCGAACCCTAAATACATCAGCTTTTTCCTTCAGCACTGACAATAAGAAACTGTAGCATACCGGGCACCAGCTCAAACATTTTTTGCCCCATGCCCCAAAACGTATCCAGGAATTTCGTCGCGCCGAGAAAGGGATCTCTACCAGCGTAGTGGGAGAGTGCTTCTTGGAGGCCAAGTTCGTACAGGATTTTCTCCCCTTGAAAGCGAATGTCGTAGAGAGTGAGACCAGTCACTGAGGAGAAGGTGATGTAGAACTCGAATCCTTTCCAAGAAACAAACTTTTCCTTCTTGTCGAGCACAAAGCTCCCGTGGCTAGTATCAGATCCCTCTAATGTCTGGCTCTGTTTTTCTTGTCCTGAATAGCTGGAGCGGCTATCAATGTGAGTCCATCTTCCGTCCAGATTTGGGGGTGTGATAACAAATCCAGGCGCCATCCATGCAGCGCGAAATGCCTCGGTAGAGTTGTACAAGACATCATTGTAGAACCAGTTGAGCACTTTCCAGTTTCTGGGATCTCTTCCAGTGGTATCTATTTTAACATATAAGTTTTGCGAGAGCAGCGACATCGGCTCCCATTTCGTTCCTCTTTTTCTAAACAGACCCCAACGTACGGTTCTGCCATCGCCATCGACCATAGCGTCTCGGAAAAAGAGCTCCAAGCCATCGGGGCTAGATCGGTTGCCATAGTTGATCACGCTTCCAAGAATACTCTCAGTCATGTCAGCGATGCCTTCTGCAATCGAGTATGGCCAATCTCGATCAGACAATGAGTCCGGTACCAAGTTCGGACTTGAGCTCTTGCCCGAATTATGGTAGAACGTCAAGGGTAGGATTGTAGTCTCTGCCGAGGGGGGCAATGGTCCAACGGCGTATTCATCAAGGGTCGCGTTGACACCGGCGCCATTGTACACGAGCACAGTAGCCCAGCGCGGCGGCCTGTTTCGTGACCTGCCGTCCAGATAACTCAATATTTGCGACTTGTTGGGCCGCAACAGCTCCGCGCGTTGCACATAGTTTTGAAACGGGGTGGGAGTCGCTGAAGACGACAAGTTGAGATTGTTCGGCACATTATGTAGATAATCGAGCAAGGCTTCCGTCTCGGTTATGCTTAGGTCCACCCAGAGATTATGTCGAGTTTGATCACGGGCGCTGAGTTTCGCGGGACGATAAGAACCAGAGCCAACGCTTGGTTTGAAACCCTCAGAAAAAGTGTGGGAAGCAACGCAAATTACTGCCAAAAGAACGGCCAAGAGCCCGATAGCTCTAGCCTTTCGATATTGAAACCTCATCCTATACTTGGCTGTGATGGTCAGGGACCCAGAGTCTGATGCGATGAATAATATCTACTCCCGAGCTGGGTCAGAGTACCGTTTAATTGCATGCCTTTGCCAGTGCTAAGGGCTTCGCGGCGGTCATTCACACGAATTGTAGCGAATCACACTGACTCGATTGTGGGATACTTCGAGTAAGAAAGAGCCAGCACTAAGATGGAAGTACCGAGTGTTTCCACAAATACAGGGGAGTACCGTGCCACAAGGATTATCTCCAGCTTAAAGCTGTATTCTCATATACCTTTAGGGCGTGATCATGAGAGTGAGACTCAGTCGCTGGGACTCTATAGAGTTGCAAAGAGTTGGTGGATACAGTAGCGCTGGCCGGGTGAGATTGGCTGCTTTTTACGCTCTTCTTGGCAGTTTGTTGGTAGGAAGAAAACCTCGTCAGATACCTTTGTTTCAGGGGGTGGGTCCTCGAGTTATGCTCGAATTATGAAGAAAAGAGGTTACAGTCGCACTCTCATGATCACGCCCCAAGTCAACGCAGTGGGTCGAGTTACCGCGAAGCCTTGGCACTGGGGAAGGGATGAGAGGACATCCGTAGTAGGAAACAGTTACAATGTGTAGGCATTTCTTTAGCTTGTCAGATATCGTATACATAGTGACGCAGGCAACTGCCTCTGAAGTAAGGATTGCGTTCCACGTCATGAGACACCTGTCGTTTTTGTTTTTCCTGTCAAAACTTTGGGTTGATACGAGATATTCAAGCCCGTGTCTCAGGCAGCGTCCAGGTGATGATGTCCCGTGTCAGTGTGTTTGTAGCTCGTCGATGGCACTAATCTTATGTCCATCACCGATTAGTTTTCTTTGTGGACCTGGTGGCGCTAGCTTTGTCTTGCACCATGCTTGAATTGCGCAACGATAATTGCCAAGGTCAGAAATGCAGATTCGATGTTCTGCCTGGCAGATAACGTCCTGTCTGCGATAACGCAGCATGTGGGGGACAGAAAAGAAATAAGCGGTCCTGAGAAGCACCTGCTATGCGAGATACCTATTACCGGAGTAACAGGCTATTGAAAGTAAAGAAAGAAAAACTATATCTATGTTCCTAATTGATTAGTAATAGATCTGATATTTTTTTAAAATATTTTGGAGCTGTGATCAAGAAGACAGTATCAATAATCCACGACCGCGCTTTTTCCTTGTCCCCGTTGAGCAGGTAGTTGAGGTGGGCTCTAACACAGTCACTAATTGGTCGGCCATTCTGGACCGTCAAAAATGTTCCTGCAGCTTGCGGGGAAGCACGGTAGAAATCTGTTCTGCTGCTACCACGAGGCTATCATCCGACATTTACAGCCGCAGAAGATCAGTATTGCTATCCTGTAAAACATAATGATCAACATGCTAATAGCCCGAAAGGCTCGGAGTGACTGGCTTACAAACTGCCAAGTCATTTGCTAAGTGAGTCGCAAGTAGGACACCAACGATGATCAGCGGTGCAGAAGCCAAACCCTCAACATTCCATTTTAACTCGCTATAGCCACTCAATAGTGATACTGTGTGCTTATATACAAGGCTTTTGCTATCGTCATTACAGCATGGCGGCTCGCAGTACCGAAAAAGGCATCATATACGCCCCGATGTGCGTGCGATATGACGGCAGCCGCACTCCAACATGGCGCACACGTGCCATCTAGCAAAGCTTAGAGTACCTTAGCGCAGCTGCTACCTCTCGATGCCTAGACCACGATTATTGGTGGCAGCTAATTGGCAAGCAGCTCTCTAGAATTCTGGCGGCCGATGAATGAATTGTCGTGTGAATCAGACCGAGTCGAAAACAAACGGCCGGCCGGCGGTAAATTACGAAGGAAACGAGATAGAGAGATGACAGAGCGTCTAACCAGTTAGCTACCCATCAAATTAAGCCAGGACTAAACAGGTAAGCAAAACCATTACAGTCCATACGACTGTTCCCACGCAAGGCTATTCAGAAGCTACAGAGCAAAGCACAGATGATATGGTATAGGCTATATTGCAATTTAACTCAAAAATTCTAATAAGGAACAGTACAAGCAGCTGGATCACATCTTAGCGGCCGCCTTCTTTGCGATTTTCTTCTGCTGCCGTCCTCTATGTGCCTTTTCACGGCGGGCCGCCTGCCTTTGTCTCCTCTTTGCGACTTGGTCCGATGACCTGAGGCTCACTCCATGAACAAGCTCAACATGACCTCGAAAATGGTCCACGTGGTCAAACTTCTCCTGCCTGCATTTCGGATGGCCACACCAGATCGCCTCACCACGTCGCTCGGCTGTCTCTCGGCGGCCTAGGTGCTCGTCGTCAAAGTGGTCGTTGAGTACCGGCGGACGGCAATACTTAAACTTCCGCGCTTCAACCGGCAGCTGCTCGTCACCAATGCAGTCTGGGCATTGCGTTGTTTCCATAAGTAGTGGAAAAGGATCTGGCCGGAAACCTAGTTCCGACGATGTGTCACTTTCCGGCGACACTTGCTTGACAGAAGCCTCGATCCTGGCTGGCCGTTGCGCGCGTCTAGTTTTGCCTGTTTCCTTCTTATCGCATAGAGCCACCATCAAGTCGATAGCCTCAGCTCTGTGTTTGAAAAGCTCCTCATCTGTCCAGGAATCAGGCTGCAGGCAAAGAATTTTGGCCAGTCTTGCCTGTTCCGGTATAACAAGGTCAATTGCTGGCTGCTCGAATTCTTCATCCACCTCGCCGCGGGCTTGGGCCTCAATGTCCCAGGTGGGACGGTTGTAAAAATAGTATTCGCGGTATTCTTTCACAGTCATTCTATCGCGCTGTGTTCGCTTGTTCCGGATCTCGTCCGTGAGTGTTCGGATTCTCTCCTCATGCTGACTATCCTCAATTCGATACCTTCCCTGCTTAAGCTTTGTGCGCTCCTCCTCCAACTCCACAATCTCGGGGTCGGGAGGTTGATTCGCCCATACTTCATCAGGCACCATATCCCGAACGGCACGAGGGTCGCGGGTGAAGCTCACATGTGCAAACATGCGAAAGAGCTGACTTTGCTTCTCCTCCTCCAGGAAGGCATTCTGGAGATCAAAGTTGGCAATCTCGTTCAGATAAGCAGAGAAAAATGTGGCGAACTGAGGGTCATGCCGCATCATCTGATCGCGGACCGAATCCGGTGCGTCGCCTAGCAGAGTTAGCATTAGTGTCGATGATGGTGGCGGCATGTGCAATCTCTGGAATACCATTTGCGGCGTTCGCCGCGCCTCGCCGGGCAAACCTGGGCGTCCAAGCCTTCTCGTGGCCGGATTCCAGGCTCTGCCGGCCCATATCATAACTCAGCTTAGAGTAGAGCATCGCCTCGTTTTCGGACAACGTTGCACCGTTGATGCGGCGAAAAACAGGGACTTTCAATTTCTCCTTTTTCCAACGGATTGGCATGCAATCTTGAGGACCCCAGACATCCTTCGAGAGCAGACTATTCGCATCGGTTAGGCACGACGCATCGAACGCATGATCATGTAGGGCTAACGCGACGATAACCATGACCGCGTCAAAGATAAGCTTCCTAGTAGGCGTGAAGAAAAAAATTGTCCTAAATATATCGCAATTAGCAGCCGGCCAGACGGTAGCGGGTTGGTATATGAGGTAGAACACACGGCTTCGGCTTGTTGTCTGCTCCTTTGTGGTGAATGAATTTAATGGCCATGGCCAGGACAGGCTTTCCTGTAGCGGGGTGCCGCACCAGCATCAAAAGAATGTCCTCATAGCATAGAGCTTTAGGGCGGCCTCTCTTCGTTGTCTCTCGTAGGAGCATTTTGTTAAGCTCTTTGGAACGCTTGTCTAGCGTCCGGTCCGCGCTGCCGTCGCTGTCCGCTTCTTGTATGACTTTCTGGCCAAAGAGTATTTCTCTGGAGCCATCCTTCGGGCCCTTCCTCTCGTTGTCCACCAACTCTGCAGGTCGTGCCCCAGTGTAACACAGCAGCTGATAGCAGCCGGTCAACTGGATGCGATGCCGCCCAAGGCTGAATACGCTCGTGTCGTACGCGATGTTGAACGTCAGAATGACCCGAAGACTGTCGACATTAAGGACTGGCTTGCCGTCTATATTCGGTGCTCGGAGATGGAAGCGAGGTATCAAGACATTTCGGTGGTACTGGGCTGTGGTCAACATGCATGATTGGAAGCTCCCAGCTAGCGGGTTTCCATACCTTGTAGACTTCCTTCGCATCATTTCTATCCATGTAGCGCCCTGTGACAGTCGTGTAGAGCTGCTGGAACTGGCGGATGTACTCTCCTGAAGAGCCCCACGATCGCACTTTGTAGTTGCCACAGACGAAGAGAAAAAAATCCATCGTAGTGGCGCGGCTCAGGTTAGCAATCGTGGCTCGCCAGTCGCCGACATTCATCTCATTGCAGTAGCTGCACCAGGGTTAGCTGTGGGCTCTAAGATAGGCTTGTAGGCGATCTTAGCGTACCGTTTCCATCTTCCCAAGATGCCGCAGACGTTGATCTCCGTTTCGGCAGAGTAATTCGGCTGCACGAATTGAACAGTGCTGAGACACTCCCGATTGGCGGCATGCTGCTCGGCCGAGAGCGGCGCAGGCTTTGCTGCTTTTTCAAGCTGCTTGGCTCTTTGAAACTGGAGGAAGTCCAGGTGGTGGTTGTCTGGAGCGTTTACATGTCGTGTGCGGGCGACGGCGATTGGCATCGTGGATGGATCGATTCTGTTGACCTAATGCGCGGGTGGCCAGGGTTGGAGGCCACAACGGTCTTAGGGGGATGAATGAAAGGAGAAAGAAAGGGCAACGAGGACGCCGCCGCTCTATATACTGTAGTGCCGGCCATTCTGGTGGTAAAAGCCGCTGAAGTACGTGGGCAGCGAAAATAGCACACGGCCAACGAGCAACAGGAAACGGGAAACAGGCTGGTGTGGTCTGGTCGGTGGAGGGGCCCGTAGGTTGTGTAGCCAATGCCGCCAGAGGTACACGGTACCTGGCAGGGGTGGGCCTGGAGCGTGAATCCCTCACTGCTGTTGCCGGTAAAAACGGCGGCAGAACCCGCCAGATTTGGTGGCTCCAGCAGCGCATCTTGCATTTAAAGAGTAATATTAAATATAATATTAGAGATTTAATTATAAATTAAATAGTTATAACTTTAGGTAAAGAGTTAAGTTATTTAGTTAAAAATAATAATAAACTTTACTTAGATAAATAATTATTTTTATATTAAATAATTTATATTTAAAAAGGTTATTTTAATAAGTTTTATTATTTAAATATACTTAATAACCTATAAAATTCTTATATAAAACTATTATATAAAAAGGTAAAAATATACTTATTATAATATATTTATAATAAAATAATAATAGATTTAGAACTAGTTATATTATTAATAAAGCCTATATACTTTAAGTATATATTAAGTAGAGATTAATTCTCTATTAATTAGTAAATATATTTATCTCTTTATTATATATCTAATATAGTTAACTAATAGGTTATACCTTATATAAATTTTTAAAGTAGGGGGGACCTTAGCTAAGGGTGCCCTCCCTTAGCTTAACTTACTAAGGTACCCTTAGGTGAGTTACGACCCCGAGTATAACAAGTGACTTTTAAATAGTGGTTCTGTGGTCTTTAGTGACTTAGTAGCTGGACGAACTGTTAGTGAGAGGCTGCTCCACGCTAACTGATAGTTGCTTGGCATTAGCGCCAATGTAAATGATAGAGTTATCCTGTGCGATGCACTAATTGTCTCTTTACTCGTTTTGTTAATTCCGGGACAAGTTCTTTTTCTCTTTTTTGGGTCGTCACTGAAAAGAATTGTCAGGGACAACTCCTGACTCCATCTTGAGTCAGGTGCTGGCCTGTCAGCCTCGCATGCCCAAGTAGCTGTCAGCTGGCAGCTGTCAGCTGGCACTCGTCCGTTTGCTCTCTTTTTGTCATCACCTGTGGAAGCATCACCAAACTTGTCCCGCCTTCATCATCATTACACGTTTTTGATTCATCATTATGATATTGGACACACTCGATTTTAACCATCAGCTTCAAAAAACAGCTTCAAACGGCAGACATCCCTACCTCGCCTCCTGCAATCCACATCGCGCCACTGGACCCAGCAGTACCCCAGACACACTTCTTGTCCCTTTCCACTCATTGTTCAATACAGTGTCGCAGTCTCGCCACGTGCTGCAACCACTCCCCAAGCACTACTAGTTATAATCTGGAAGCTTCATGGAAAGACGGTCGCCGACACAGTCTAGCTCAGAGCCAGCGCAGACCTCCCACGGCCATCTCGAGCATTCGACACCGTGGCCGCTGCATCTGACGCTGCTGCAGCTGATCGCCATCAATGTCAAAGTAAAAGAAGAACACTTCCTGAGTTGTATACAGCGTCCAAATCCTGGCCAGTGCTGTTCTAAGCAACATAATTACTGTTAGTCTCGCCTCGACTACACAGATTGCAATCTTGTTCAAGCTTGGCTTCCAGTGCCACGGGTCAAATCTATCATAGCATGGAACGCCGATTTCTATTAGCATACTACGGAAAAACTTTTAAAGTCACAGCTGTTACCGAAGGTCCACGCAGAACCCGGAAACTAGGTACGCCTGTACGCCTCACCTCAAACTTGTCAAGGCGGACTCTTCATTCGAGCGGAAACCCCTTGGCTTACATGCAACGGTTTTCACATCTCTTCCAGGTCCTAGACCGAGGGACACAGCTCGTCTTGGCATGGGCAGTCTGGTGAGTCTTTGAGGCGTTGTGCCCAGCTTTCACGTTTCCACCGCCCCAACTTATCCGCCGCCTTCATCCACACACACTCGAGCATCCGCCAACTGACCGACAGCGTTCCCTACCTTGGAAACCTCGTTTCACCCAGCCGCCCCTGTTACGCTTTACTGATGTATGCGTGCACTCGTTACAGAAGAAAAATGGCCCGTCTTGGCGCGTAAAGCTGCGCGCGGCCAAGAGAATGGCTTTGCTTATGTTTGGTGCGCCTTGCTCTTGGCCCGTCCCAGCTATATAGCTGCTCATCCTCGCCAGTGTGTACAACTCCTGTTTCTCTTTAGGACAACACTCGAGATCTTTTCGTACAGAGCTTTGACTCTGAGTCTTGGTGCTCTTTTTTACTTTCTTGTTCAATTTTCGAAAAAAGACCTCAAAGTACAAGACCACGGACTCATCTGACAACGTTGGTGACTATCAGCCAACATGACTTTCCACCAATATGACTACCTCCTGGCCGTCGGAACCATCTTCGCCTTCCTAGACGCCTGGAACATTGGTGCCAACGATGTCGCCAATTCATGGGCTAGTTCCGTCTCCTCCCGCTCCGTCACCTACCTTCAGGCCATGTTAGGTGCCTCACTCATGGAATTTACTGGAGCACTCGGTGTCGGTGGCCGTGTAGCTGACACCATCCGAACCAAAGTCGTCGACGTCAAGGCCTTTGAATCTTCACCCGCCCTTCTCATGCTCGGTATGGTCTGCGCCGTCACCGCATCCTCTCTCTACCTCACCATGGCGACCAGATTTGGTATGCCCGTCTCTACTACGCACTCCATTCTCGGGGGCGTCCTCGGTATGGGCATCGGCGCACTCGGTAACAAGGGTATCACATGGGTTGGTTATACCAAGAGCGGTTCCCTTGATCTAAAGCAGGGTGTTGTACAGGTTTTCCTTGCCTGGATTATTGCTCCCATTCTTTCCGGTGTTTTCGGAGCCATCATCTTTCTCCTCACTAAATATGGTGTCCTCCTCCGCTCCAATCCTGCCGCCAAGGGTCTCTTCCTCGTGCCCATCTATTTTTGGCTTACTTCCTCCCTCATTGTCATGCTGCTGATCTGGAAAGGCGGCGACTATACGGTTGCCCTGACCGAGGCTCAGATCCCTGGTGTCATTGTCGGTGTCGGTGCTGGTTTCGCACTTCTCATCACCCTCTTTCTTGTGCCCTGGATGTATCGTGTCGTCATCAAGGAAGACTGGCAGCTCAAGGCCTACCACATTTTCCAGGGCCCTTTGCTGCTCCGCCGTGGCGAGGTTCCCCCTCCTCCGGAAAACTTTACCGGCATCGTGCGCAACTACTACGAGGGCCACATGACCCGCGAGGAGCTTGATGCGCGCCGCAACCGCGAAGCCGCGGTAGTCACTGGTGATGTTGAGGGCCAGCACGATCAGGAAAAGACGGCCGTCTCGGACATCTCGACGGAAGAGTTGCCCAAGTCTACCCACAAGTCTCTCATCGGCCCCAAGCCCGATGGCGCCTGGTACACTCCCTCTGTCGCTTTCTGGTGGCTCAAGTGGGCTGTCCTCCGCGGCGTTGACCAGGATATTGTCGGCTCTCAGAGTGAAAAGTCCGTCATTGCCGGTGATGTCGAAGAGATCCACGCCCGCGCCCGCCACTTTGACAACAAGGCCGAGTTTCTCTACACCTTCCTCCAGGTCATGACTGCTGCCGCTGCTTCCTTTACCCATGGCGCCAACGATGTGGCCAACGCTGTCGGCCCTTATGCCTCCATCTACCAGATATGGAAGACCGAGGTCGTTCCACTCAAGGCTGACGTTCCCCGCTGGATTCTCGCCTTTGGTGGTGCCGGTATCTGCATTGGTCTGTGGACCTATGGCTACCACATTATGCGCAACCTCGGTAACCGCGTCACGCTCATGTCACCCTCGCGTGGTTTCTCCATGGAGCTCGGATCAGTCATAACCGTCATCATGGCCACTCGTCTCGAGCTTCCCGTTTCTACTACACAATGCATCACGGGCGCTATTGTCGGTGTCGGCCTCTGCAACGGTGACTGGCGCGCCATTAACTGGCGCATGGTTTCCTGGATTTACCTCGGTTGGTTCATTACCGTGCCCGTGACGGGTCTTATTTCTGGTATCCTCATGGGTTTCATCACCTTTTCTCCCCACTGGTAATCTTGATTTTGACCTCTCTCACTGCCATATGATGCGGTGCCTCAAGTGTGTCAAGCCTTGTTTACGAATTCCATGATTAGTATTTTGCCCCGCGTCATGGAGAGCTTATCATGGTGTCACGCTCTCGATAGATGATAGATGGAGGATGATGGCATCTTGAAAATTAGAATGTATATATTCACATGAGCAGGTACGCCGATCTTGTTCATCTTTGTTGTGAATCAGATATCTTGTCGATAGTGTTATAAACGACAAGGGCGAGAGAATTCTGTACGCTTGTTTGCGGTGGCGAGGCAAACACGTCGAGGAGCAAGATTCATGTCGGGTGCAAACGCGTCCTTTTTGAGTTTGTGTAGCAGAGAACCACCCTTTTCATCTACTCTACAAGCCAAACTTTGGAAAAGGGAAAGCGATGCCTTTTTGTTGGAGCGGATTCATAACCGAGTATTCTCATCATCAGCAGCGTTGACTTGTTGGATTATAAACGACGTATCCTGCAAGAAGACGGGTACTTGCGTCGTGCACACCCCCACGGTCTCGACTCATACACCATGGAAGTATTCAAGGCTATTCGAGCCAATCAGCGTAATATACATTTAATCTCGACTCAGAGTAGCATGTACATATCACTCATCTACGCACCGGCCAAAGTCGGTCCGTCTTCCATCCCCAGATGTCATTGCCTCCCACCCGCTGCACACCCGCGCACCCGTGACGCAACAAACAAGAGAGCAACAAAGGCCAACGTTTCTTTGTGCTCCGTCGCGGCCATTGCCATTTCCGATGATGATTCTTTGTTTGCGGTTCCTGTCGCCATTGTCGAGACGCTCTGACCCTACAATGTCATGATCGACACCTTGTTCTCAGATGTGGGCTTTACGATGACCGCAGTTGAAGCATTTATATATCTCGACCGATGCCGTGATTCACTTGTGCCGGCTTGTCACCCTTTCTCCGGCAGACAAATTATCGCTTAATCTTCTTAATCAAAAGACATTATCAACTCACACCTTTGGACATTTTCCGTGGTTCAAGATTACCAGAACAAGCCATGAAAGTCGCTGTCGTCGGAGGCGGCCCCGGGGGCCTCGTCACGCTTAAATTCCTCGCCACCGCGCATCACTTCTTTGACATTCCGCCGCTCGAAGTGCGTCTCTATGAAGCCGAGGACGAGATTGGCGGCACCTTTGTGGCGCGCGTCTACGAAGACGCCGAGGTGATTATACCCCCCCCCCCCCGCCTCCAGTTTCCTCCCTCTACACTTTCTGACACCCCCAACTCACTCTATGAAACGCAGATGGTCTCGTCAAAGTACCTAACCGCCTTTTCCGATTTCCGCCTCCCCGCCTCTGCGCCCGATTTCGTCACGCCCGCCGCCTACGTACAGTATCTGCGCGACTACCTGAGCCATTTCCAGCTCTGGCCGCACGTGCGCTGCCGAGCCCGCGTCACGCGCATCACCCGGAGCCGGAGGAGTCATCATCATCCCGACGCCGGCGGCGGCGGCGGCGGCGGCGGCGGTCATACCGTCGAAATTTTCACCTCTACGGAGACGGGCGGCGCGACCGAGACTTGGGACTGCGACGCCGTGGCCATTTGCACCGGCATGCACGTGCTGCCGCGCATCCCCGCGCTTCCCGGGCTGGAAAGAGTCAAGACGGTGCTGCACTCGTCCGAGGTCAAGACGCGGGCGCAGCTTGGCGAGGGCACGCACGTGGTGGTGCTGGGCGCGGGGGAGACGGGCATGGACATGGCGCATCTGGCGGTGACGGCGCCGACGGCGTCGGTGACGCTGTGCCACCGCGGCGGCTTCTTTTGCGCGCCCAAGGTTTGAAACCCCCCCCCCCCCCCATCTTCTTCTGGAAGATGCAAAGACAGACAGAGAGAGAGATAGCGCTGACACAGAAATCTTGGGGTGGGGGGTGGTTAGATTATTCCGGTGCCGACGCCGCGCGGACGACCGCTGCCGGCCGGTGCTCGTCCGAACAAGCCGGTCGACACCTCAGTCGCCAGCCTCTTTGACACGGCGTATGCGCACCCGCGCTTGCAGCGAAGCTCGCTCCTCTGGGCGGCGTACGACTTTTGGGTGCGCAAGGCGCACTGGTGCATCAGCGGCACGGAAGAGGGCCCGGATCAATGGGTCGGGCAGATGAGCAAGGAGCGCAAGCACCTGGATTCCCGTACGTTTCTTCTTTCTTCTTCTTCTTCTTCTTCTTTTCACCTTTTGCTTTTGCGTGGTCGAGCATGGTAAAGCCCGAGATGAGCTAATCTGATGGTGTGTATAACCTGTATATATAGTCTTCATGGTCAAGTCGGACCGCGCGCTGCCGTACCTTTCCGCCAACCACCGCTCCACGTCGTTGCTCAACCGCCTCCGGATGCGCATCCTCAACGTGCCGCTGCGGCCGCACCCCGGCCGCACCATCTCCGTTCAGTCCTGGCCCTCTCACATTGACTCTTCCGGCAACATGCATTTTCAATCTCCCCCATCCTCATCCTCATCTTCATCCTCCACCCCCCTTCTCTCCGCTTCCCAGGCACCACCACCACCACCACCATCTCTCATCCCCGACGTCGTCATTCTCGCCACCGGCTACATTACCTCTTTCCCCATCCTCGACCACGGCTACCCTTCCCTCTCCTCCGCCTCAGTCCGGGGCATCTACGACCCTTCCTGCCCCTCCGTCGGCTTCATCGGCTTCGTCCGGCCCAGCATCGGCGCCATCCCGCCGCTCGCCGAGCTACAGGCGCAGCTCTGGGTTCTCCGGCTCCTGCAGCACCAGGAGGGCCTCGTGCTGCAGCCGCCGCCGTCGCCGTCGCCGTCGCGTGGCTCCTCCCAGTCCGCAGCAAAAAAAGATGATGATGATGCGGTGCAAGGGTATGAGATGGACTGGCGGCTGCATCCGCGCGCCGGGTACGACGTCTGGGTGGAGAAGAGGGGCGTCGACCATGAGAGCTACGCGTACCAGCTGGCGCTGGACATGGGCGCGGCGCCGACGTGGAGGGCGGTGGCGCGGAGGGGCTGGCGATGCGCGTATACGTGGGCAATGGGATCCAACTTTAACACAAAGTTTAGGCTCGTCGGCCCGTGGAGGGACGAGGCCGTGGCCGAGGACATTATGAAAGGGGAACTGTACGAGGTGGTGAGGCGCTCGGGGGGTCTTGTGTGTAAGTTTTTTTTGGTCTTCCCCCCCCCCCAACGTTGTCTAGAAGTAAAGGAAGAGAGAATGGGCTAACTGTCGGCGTGGCGGGGCGGTTTAGATTTCTTGACGTATACGCTCATACCTCTGATTGTGTTTGGCACGATTAGTCTGAGTCTGCACGCGGCATATGGCATCGCGGCGCTGCCGGGCAAGGCGGCTGCTGGCGTGAGGCGCGCGTCGGGGTGCGCGAATGGGAAGACGGAGGTCGCCAAGACGTTGGAGTAGCTGCGCCCCGTTGAGCTAGTTAGTTCTTGTTGTTGGACAATTCCAGGGCTTTTCCTGATCAGAGAGGTAGGTGTTGTCCTTTGCAGAAAGGAGAGCGGCCATGACCCATGGTACCTTTGGCGGAGCAAGGTGTGATTTGATGTACACTGTGTGTGTGGTCTTGTCAAGAGTTGCCATGGCCCGAAGTTCTCTGTTTTGTTTCCGATTGATTACGAGGCAAGTGAAATATAAGAGTAACCTATTTGATCCGTTTTGTTTCCGGTCTTGTCATGAACCGTCCCGCCTAGAACCAACAAAATGGCAGCACATCTCTTCAACGGCACGACAGTAAAGGTGGCACTTATACACGGAAGATTTATGCCAACATCTACCAACCATTCACTGCCTAGTAAACATGCCGATTCCGAAAAAGATAAAAATAAAAAAAAAATTATGTCCCATATTCACGCCATCAGTCCTAACTAGAGACTACTTATATATATTACTCGAGCCTCGGCCATCTGTCCTCTGCTTCCCGTCCCAAATCTTTGCGTTTAGCGCGCACGAGACGCCAACATGCAAGCAATACCGCTCGTGCTACAAGGCAACCAACCATGGTTATCCGCAGGCTTTTCACTTTTTTGCGACGGCAGATTGGCATCATGGCTGAGTATCAGAGCTAAAAATACATGCATGAATTGTTGTTCCTCATTTGGCTGCCTAGCGATTAATGCGGTCGTCGTGCTGTGCCCGTTGGCGGGTCATACCCCAATGATCGACCGCCCCAGACGTGTCACGATGAAACTCCAATACTTGCCTCAGTCACGTCCCATGTCAAGCTTTCATAGGTAGCCAGTACACTTTACCAAACGGTCCCGAGGTAAAATTAAAAGAGTCAAAAGATATTCTAATGTTAAATGTCATTGAGCAGTGAACCGTTGCGGATCTATCTATACTCATATAGGCGCAGCTTGAATATATGTATAATTATAAAGAAAAAGAAAAGCAAGCCAGTGCCTGTCCCCAACGCCAGTATCCGTTACCCCAGTAATCCAGTCCCGATATGCACAGTACATGTGGTACAAATGAAACGCTCTGCTCAATCCATAATCGCTTCAAATCTTTTGTGCTGCAAAATCAAACGCATTCAGCCAATTACAACTCCAGAGTGAGAAGTTCTAATCTAGCGATAACAGACTCGGCACTGGCAGAGATGCGCTGGACACGAGCCATGGCGTAGACAGCACAATGTTCCGCTTCCGTAGCATCAACAAGCTCGAAGCGAGACAGGGCCTTGTCGGCATCGATGCCGCCAAAGACATCAATGTGAGAGAGACCTTCAGAAACGACATTGGATTCGGCAGCAGGGGTAGAGGACTGGGCGTGGAAGAGGGCAAACTCGGGGTCAGACTCGAACTTGTCGTCGACCGGAGTGACATGACTAGGCTCAATATTCTCAGTCTGGACGGGGCGCTCAATGACAGGAACGTCGACTTTTTGCTCCTCGGTAAAGGACTCGACAATGGTGCAAGTCTTGCCAGAAAGGAGGCTGACGTCGATGGGAGCAGGAATCTCAGGAGTGTCAACGACAAAGACGGTGGGCTGGAAGTTGTAGCCATCAAGAGCAAGCATAGAGTAGTCCATGCTCTGCTCAGGAATCATGGCCATGCCGATTTGCTGCTGAGACTGGTTGCCGTAGGGGTTGGCATCCTTGGGAATCTGAGCCTGCTCTTGCTCGGGTTGAGGTTCGACCTTGATGGGGACCTGAGGAATGGGAGCCGAGTTGGTACTAAGATGGTCGAGGAAGTTGGAGAAACTGGGCGACGAGAGAAGCATGCGGGTCAGGTCGGACAGACGCTTGTTCTCCTCCATGAGGGCACGGTTGCTCTGGCGGAGACTGGTGACCTCGTCATCCTTGTGGTCGCGCTCGCTCTCAAGCTGCGAGATGTACTCCTTTCTGCGAGAGCGAAAGGCACGGGCAGAGACCTTGTTGCGAAGTTGGCGGCGCTCTTTGGAGGTGAGCTTCTTGCCCTCCTCGCTGGCAAGGAGACGCTCATCCTCGTCCATGTCCTCCTCCGACTTTTTTGAGCGAGGCATGCTGAGAGAGCCAGACTGGGAATCGCCAGAGGCCGATGCGGGCTTTTGGCGCATGTTGTTGAGGAGCTGGGTAATCTTTTGCTCGACAATGGGGTCATTGACCTGAGGAGCCTTGCCGCGAGCCTTTTGGCTCTGGGTCTGCTGCATCATTTGGCGCTGACGAGCCTGGGCCTTGGCAACGGCGGCAGCCTGGGTGTGGCAACCAGGCCAGAGACGGCCGGGAGAGCTGGTAGCGGAAGCTTGCTGCTGATGGCGGTGCTGCTCGATATTGCTGGGGTTGACGGTGAAGAACTGATCCGTAGTGGAAGCATCAAAGTCCAGGTCGAGCTCGGAAGTAGGAAGGGTAGGCTGTGAGGGCGATGTATTGAAGTCAAAGACATCATTTTCAGGAGAGAAGCTGGTGAGATAGTCGAGGCGGCCAAAGTCCTGATAGCCAGTGTTGTTGGTCTGGTTGACAGCCATAGTATTGGTGAGGGCGCCGGGGACAAAGCCGGTCTGCTGACGGTACATGTCGTAGTTGTGACTGGGACCGGTCATGGCTTGCGAGGTTGTGTTGGATGAGACAGAGGGAGTCGTCATGTCGGAAATGGGGCTGGCAAAGGTAGGTTTGGCGCCCATGTTTGGGGAGAGCGAAGGGGACTGATAGTTGGCATCAAACTCGGAAAGGTCGAGCAGAGCGTCGAATTCGTTTTGGGCCGAGGCCGACATGGTGATGGATGAGCTGCCGTCAAGGCGAGGCGGTGGTAAATAGTCAAGTGGCGATGGAATCGAGTGATGGTCAAGACTCGATTGCAAACGTTTTGATTTGAAATTGGTGGTTAATAAAAAACAACCAAGGCGATCTGTTTTGTTGATGTGATGGTGTTGGAGGAGAGAAGATGGAGGGAAGAGATGGAGGAAAATGTGACGTGAGGCAGCGGAAGGGGGCTGTTGTGGCTATGAATGGCAACAGACTGGCGGCGGATGGAATGGGGGGTGGCACGGTGGCAGTAACGAGCCGGGGGTAGCGACGGAGCCAAGGAGCCTGGGAGACGCTTGAGGGAGAGGGGCCAGCGAACAAGGCTCAAAAAGTAGGAGAGCCAAGCAAAAGACCAAGGATAGGTAGGCAGAAAATAGGCAGAAAATTAGTAGAAAGGAGCAAGGCTCGGGAAAGAGAGCCGTCCATACATCCACAGGCTTGATAGTGGTTGGCCAGACTGAGGTGGGTTAGTGGATCCCAAGGGGATGAGGGACGCGTCAGCTTTTTCCCTTGCCTAGTGCCGGGCAATACGCTAAAATGGTGACCTGCTGCATTTCCTTTTTAGCAGTCTTTTTAAACTGTATAGACCTTTTAGTTCAGTTACTTTAGAGCAAGCCGATGAACACAATGCATTAAAATGCGCTACAAATACGACTGGCTCAGTCCCAGCTAACGCTGAAGGCGGACGTTGACCGGCGCTCAGAGCCTTTGATTGTTATGCACACAATGCCATTCAGAACCATAAACGACATGACTGGTTTATAATTAGCCAGAGCTAAAAAAGATGACCGCTGAAAAGATGACGACGCTCAACTCCTTCCACAATCGGCAACCAGGGTGCCGCGCCTCTCTTCAGCCAATTACCGCTCCTCTGCTCCAACGCTTCAATCCATCATATTAATACCTGCTCACTCGATTTCTTTGGTCTGGGAACTGCTGCCGCCGTTTTTGCCGTTCCTCGTCCAACTATTCCCGTCTAGCGCCTTGGAGCTTACGTACTTACCCTTTGTGCATCTAACACGTATCCAAGGTTAATTCTCGTTGCTAACCCAATCGTTCTTCTACCTTGGTCCTCTGCCCGCTGTCTGCCCTCTGTCTGCCTGCCTGGCATTCTCATCTAATAATGCCCACTGCCTAATAATTCAGTCTCCATGCAAACGAATCGTCGCATCAATCAATAAACAATCTTTCGCCTCCTCCAAACATCAGCCCACCCGCCCCGACGGCACAGCCTGCCACCCACCCACCCTCACCCACCACGTCTCTCGAAACGCCCTAAATAGCGGCAACCTCTACTCGGTTCAACAGGTACCTTTTCTTTCACGCCATTGCCATGTTTCCTACAGGTACCGTCCCAACACCCCCACACTCCAGCCATGATGCACTGGCATCGCTACACTGACCTCGCTGGCGTTGCACTCGGACTCGGCACACTCTCAGCTCTGAGCTGTCAAATCCCAAAGCCCGACCACCGTCGTACTACTGGTGCACACATGTCTTGTTCGTCTCAGGCCTGCGCTTTGTTTGGCCCATCTTGCTTGGCCCATCTTGCTTGGCCCATCTTGCTTGCTCTGCAGGATAGCATAGTACGCCATCTCTCGCCCTTGGCACCGCCTTGCATATGTACTTGATTATCTCGCTGCCTGCCCTGCTAAATACCGTGGCAGTGCTGTCCTAACTAACTAGCGCCCGACCCCTGATGCCGAAAGGCCCCGCACATCTTCGTCCCCTGTTCCAGGCTTCCAGTCCAAGTCACGTGTGTTTCATCAACAGTCCAGTCACGTGCCCACCCCGGGTATCGCTTCGGGACCGGCGGTACCATTCCTCCATTATGACCACACATGTTGTTTGTTCACCACTCTTCTGAAGATCCAGCACCAACGCAACAAACCAAGTAAGCCGAGAGGGCACTTCATCGCATCCATCAAAAATTGCGACTCAATCACTGTCACGTCCTTGGCTCATCTGCCTGGATAGACACAGTATGCAGCGTTGTTTGCATGCTTATTGCTTTGCCAGTGCTGACCCTACTCCATTCGGCTGCTACACCGTATCGAATCTCATGCACAAACATCTCATCTTTGCCAAACGGGTCTCATAACACTTTAGTCAGATACTCTGACATTATGCCTTGCTCTACATGATTTGTTTCAGTTTCCACTTGACATTTTGGGCGTCAGATTGACGCCCTAGTGTCACCACCACGGCGATACTTCCCAACTACCTATTGCTGGTACTCATCGACCCGACCACCTCCGATGCAACTCCGACGATCATCGCAGCTCTGCGTCTTTACAATGTGCAGAGATTAATCATGCCATGATGCGGTCCCAATCCCGGCCTCTAGACCCTCTACCACGCAGTCTATATGCAGATTATGGCAAGGAGCATGAGCAAGCTTCATGCGTCGTGTCTTGTCACAGATGTATCACGCAAACATTGTGCCTCTCGGTGACCTGAAATCCGTTTTTCTCGTACGCTTCCACGCAGTATCGACAGCCACACCGATTGTCTTGTGGTTTTCCTGACACTGTAATACTTGAAGAGCCAATCTAAACCCATCCTGCATTGCACCAACCGTGACGCTGCATCTCGCCGCCAATGGCCTCAAAGTTCGCTTTTTCGCCTGATTTGACTGGTCCTTGAATTCGCAAGCTGCATAAATCGAGACCGCCCTATTCAATCCCCAGTTACAGCCCAATCTCGTCTGGCCGCCATACATTACACGTGATGCACGCTTTGCATCTTCACATCGCAGTTGCATGCTTACCTAATCATGATCTGCCTAACCGACCTCAATCGTGGCCCAACTTCCCCAACATCCATCAACGCGCTTCTAGCTGGCTCAAAAGGCCCGGGCTGCTCCGCTCTTCACCTTTGCTCTTTTCCGATTTACCCTTCTCGGGTGTGGTCATTTGCACACCCCTCGCGGTACCTGTCTGGCCAAAGCTCTTGCCGCTGCAGACCCGATGCTTGTTTGGCATCACTAACGACTCGCCCACCACCTCTCAGAGGCCTCTTTCTCTGTTGGCCTGGCTGCGCTCACGCTCCAGCCTCGTCAACTTGCTGCCTGCATCTCAACTGTCTTCAACCCATAAACATGACATAGCTGCCACAAATGGTGAGGGAACAGCGCGGCCTCCCCGCCGCGGTGGTTGGCGGCCCAAAGGAAAGGCACATGAGGCAGAACAGGTCCCAGTACGACCCGTCTGCGCCTGTGCCCGAAGGCTTTGTCACAAAGACCATCCAACCCAAGTCCAAGCATCACACGTACTTTGAGTTTGTCGCCAACGAGAACAAGAAGAAGAAGCTCGAATACCAGGTTTGCCCATGATGCCGCCTGCCCGTAACTTCTTCCTCGACTCACCATCCCTAGTTCACCCCCAAGAAAGAGCCGCCCCCAGGGTTCGAGTTTGTTCCCATAGGCAATCCCGCTCTAACAACGGCCTGCAAAGAGATATCTCGAGAAAAAGATGCCATGATCTTCATCGTTTCCGTAGGTGGCCGTGCGTCGGCCGACAAGTGTAGCCCCTCATATTAACACCCATCACGCAGAGTTCCAAAAGCCGCCCCGGACATCAAATATCGGGTCAAACTCACCGCATTGGCCATCACATCAGGGCAATCATTGTCGAGGAGGCCAAAGACAGCCTGCGGCACTTTTCCTCCCTGCCCATCGTCTCCACGAATGGATCACCTGAGCCGATTCCCGAGTCGCAGGAAATCTATCACGCACAGGCTGACGCTGCTCTCAGAGATTTGTTTCCTCGTATCCCCAACACTGATCGTCAAGCCATCATTGATCATTCCTTTACCCGAGTTCGTTTCCACTCTCTTGCCGTGTCCCTAGCTAACTCTAACCACGATGCCCAGGGCGTGGCCACGAGAGGCGCGGGGCCCGTCGGCCTTTCCAAAGACATTCCCTTGGCTAGAAGAGTCCAGTTAGCAGTGCTGGCCCATATCCGTCATAATCATACACCTTATGACCAGCTGCTCAAGGAGGGAACCTGGGATCGTGCCCGCAAACTTGTGGAACAGCCTTGCCTTGACACCCTCGTCCAGTGGCGAGGGGATGAAGAAACTGGCCGCGATCAGTTGGACGAAATCCTCCGCGAAGTAGTCGTCATTTCAGACTCTGAGACTGGAGATTCCGACGACGACGAGTCTACTTACACTGCCTCAGTCGAGGAGTCCGATGTGGAGCCCTCAGTTGCTGGACCGTCAAGCCCCAGGTTACCCCGGCCAGAACCCGAATCAGATATTCTCATGGACTTGCAGACGGGCCACGTTGGGGCTCATCCTGTACATGTGCAGTCGTCTGTTTCCGACCCTAATCAGCAAGACTCTAGATCTCACAGGCGAAACCAACGAGGTTTCAAACGGTACCGTGCGTGGGAGGAAGCCATTCGGCGAAATAGAGAGGTCCGGGGCTCCTCCTCTTCCACGGCCATGGATACTGACACCGGATCTTACCCTATCCATCACCGGCAGCAGCGTCTGCGCCCTATTGTTTCGATGCAGCCAATTCATATACCGGCGTTCCCAGGGCAAGCTGCTTCCCGGCCCATGACACCCCCGTCCCAGGATGTACCACTTCCCTCGATAGAGCCCATATCACCAATGCAGCCCTCGTTTGTGCGTTGCATACCTCCTCAACGGGCTGTCGATACTCCGCACCCAGATGTCTGGAATCAGCCTCAGTATCAGACTGCCGTACCTGGAGGAAGTGCTCCATACATGGTAAACCCCGGCCCCCCATCGGGGTACCCGAGAATGTCTCCTCAGATCCCCATGAATCACCCTTATCGGCCACCTTACGGGACAGAAGTATATCTCCATGCATCTAGGCAAGTAAACGATGTACAACCACCCGGACCTAATGGCGCCTTTCAGGTTGACGCTTGGCAAGTACAACCACAAGGTCCTACCACCGCTCACAGAATAATTATGGATGTAAACCGGCCAGGAGAGCGCTCCAACCCCATCGTTATGGAGGATCGGGGAGGTTTCTACGAGCGCGTCACCCAGCCAGAAGAACAGAGAGTCCCCGTCCTAGAGGAACCCATTTTGATTCGTGAAGTGGAACGACGCTGGTCTCGGCCCCCGGAGCCGTATGGAAGCCGCCAGTATGCTGCCTCGCGCCGCGAGAGTCCGATGGTGCAGGATCACGACATGGAAGGCGTCGAGCTGTACCCTGTCTCGCGGGAGATGACGCATGCGGTGCCTCCGTGGAGAGCTCAATACCGGACTAGTCCCCCGCAGCCGGCTCCCATGGCGGTTTCCGACCCCCGAGACTATGGCGCGATCCATATTCGCGCCGTGTCGCAATCACCATCTCATGCCGAGCACCAAGGGATTTTCCCATCACCTCGTAGGGACCTGTGAGTGTTGCTGGTTTCTTCCGCTTTGATTTCTTTCTTCTTTACTTCTTTCATTTACCTCTATTTCTTCCTGGGCAAGACTCTTGACGCCGAAAACCTTGATAATGTGCTCACACAATGCAGAAATCAAAGCAGCTGGAGCACCACCACCAGAGACGGCCAGTATGCACACGGGCAGGCTCGAGGACATGGATACCGGTCACCGCCAATCCAGGCATCGCCACGACGGCACGGGCCACGAGGGAACGTCATTGTTCTCGATTAAGACCTACGGGCATGCTCTTTGGGCATATATATACGTTTTTTGACTGGAGGAGGCAAGTGAACGATGTGAAGCGAAACGATCCACGTTTTGGTTGGAAGGCAAGAGTAGATGATTGCATGCTGAGCCGAATCATGTCGCAATTTCGTTAGTCGCGCACAACCTTATTTGTTGTCGGACGTTTTTGTCGTTTGATGTTTTTGGCTGCAATCTCTAATCTCTTTTTACTTTTGAATTTGCATAGCGCTGCGGGAAAGACTATACGAAGACTATGATCATTTTTCCTACCAGTTCCTGAAAACGGTCCGGGGAAGTTACAAATAAGTTTGGGAAAGAGACATGCATATTCAAATGATGTATTTTGACAATCACAATACAAACACCACTTATTCACATTGTAATACAAATTCGACCTGCGTGATCCTTTCAAGTGTTCTCTGAATGGTATTGAATCATGATACCAAGTATATACAGTCTCTTTTTTTTTTTGTGTTCCCGCGCGAGCCCAAAACAAATAAAACGCGCATCCATACTTTCTCCAAATCCTCCTCTCGCCTCCATGGAAAATGCCAGTTCAATCTTGTGCCCCTTTCCTTGGGTTGGCATCGTTTAGCTCCGGCCGCCTCGTCGACCTTTGGCGATGCCGTTTGCGCCCGTCGGCCCGTGCTTCTTTTCCACGCCCAGACCTCTCCGGCCATTGGCGATGCCGCCGCGTCCCGATCGGGCGCCTCGACCTCCGCCGCCGCCGCCTCTGCTGCCTCTCCCTCCTCTAGCACCACCACCACCACCGCGACTTCCTTTGCCAGGGCTGATGCGGCTCTTGACCACCGCGGCAGATTTCTCATCCAGCTGCACACCACCATCCTCGTCATCGTCGCCGTCGTTGTCGTCCCGGGAGCGGCGGTTCGAAAACTTGAGCTTGCCGCCGCGCCCACGCCGCGCGGCGTCTTTGCCCTTGATGGCGGCGACATATGCGCCGACACCGCCACTACCTGCTTCGGGCTGGTCAATCTCCATGGCGTTTTCGTCGTCATTGTCGTCTTGGCCGAGGATGAGCTTGCCGTCGAGGTCGAGCTTGGCTTTGGACTTTTTCTGCGGCTGCCGCGTCTTGGAGGGCTTGGTGGAGGAAATGTTGGCGAGCGCCTTCTTGTCGAGCAGATCCAGCGGCTCGTCATCGTCTTCGAGAATATATGTCTTGCCGCCCTTTTGCGTCTTCTTCTTTGGCCGGGGCGCCGCCGCTTCGTCATCATCATCGCCGTCGTCGTCGCCTTCCGACTCGCTGCTGTAGATGGCGCGGTCGTATTCCGTGTCAAACTGCTGCTTGCCGTTTCCTTCCTCCTCGTCATCGTCGTCGCTGTCGCCGTCGGCTCCGGCACCCGCGCGCGCGGCATCCTTTCTCTTCTTGGCGCGTTCCTTGGACTTGCGAATGTTGGTGATGAGCTTGCGGTCAGCCTCGGGGCAGTTTTGGTGGACGGCATCGTAGCCGAAACGGCGGACCATGCGCTCGAGAATGTGCTTGACTTTGGCCTTGAAGTGGCCCTTGTGCTCGTGGCTCCAGACCAAAAGGTTGGGCACGAGCGTGGCGAGCCGCGGCAGCATCAGCTCCACGGGCAGGCTGATGACGCAAATCTTGACGAAGCCCAGGCAGCTCTTGACAATCTCGCGATTGTTAGACGTCAAGAAGAGGTCCATGGTCTGGACCAGGTCCGACAGCGTCTGCTCTGACAGCGCGCCGCGGTATTCGTACAGCAGCCGGCTAATGGCGGTTATGCTCGCGGAGATCATGTGCGGCGTGCTGCCCGCCAGCCCCGCGCTCACCATGGTGAAGAACTCTTCCAGATTGGCGGTGCCCGCAGGCGCGTCGTCAGGCATGTGCGGGATCTGCTTATTGTCGATCGGCGCGTTGTCGGCGGCCGCCATGCGCGCGCCCATTTGCACGAGCAGCTCGTACGCGGCCTCGCGCGCGCGCTCATTGTTTTCCTTGCAGCAAATGACGACTTCGCTGAGGACCGAAGGGATAAAGTGCAGCGACGTGTCGGGGACGTGCGGCAGGAGCGCGGAAATGGCGGCGAGGCGGTCGCGGCGCGCGGGCGCGGACACCTTGTCGGTGCTGGCAACGACAAGCTGTTGCAGGGCGGCGTTGCGCTCCTGAAGAGCGGCCTTGCCGCGCTCCGACGTGCCGAGGCGCGGAATCAGCTTATACGCCTTCTTCTGCAACTGCGGCTCGTCATCACGGTTGATGATGAGCGAGGCAATCTCAAAAAGCGTCGCGAAGCTCTCGCGTGGCAGGTACGCCGACATGGTGATGACTAGGTCCATGAGTGTCTGCGCGGTCGAAGGCATGTGGTCCTTGCCCTTCTGGCCGCCATTCTTTTCCTTCTCGGCCGTGCCGAGGGCTTCCAGCTCCGCGGCGAGCATCTTGCTCACGCGGTCAAACGTGTCCATGAGCTCCTGATTGGGTGTTATGCTGAGAAAGGCGTTGACGGTCTGCAGGATGGGTCCCCGACTCTGCGGCAGGGTCTGCGTGTACACGTTGAATAGCACCGCGAGCATGTTGGCGGCGTACTGCCCGAGGTGGGTGAGGTTGGCTGCCGCCGCCTCCTTACCGACGCGGGCCTGCAGCAGGAAATCGTCCTCGTCGGCAGCAATCGCCGCCAGCGCCTGATTCGACTCGATGAGCGTCTTGAGCGCGCGACAGACGTCGAGGCGCAGCTCCGTCTGCTTGTAGAGGAGGTTGGCGAGCATTTCCGCAAAGGACTGGTCAAATGCCTCCGCCAGGTCAAGCGGCAGGTCGCAGTAGCCGGGCAGGATGGACCACACCTGCTGCACGATCGTCTCGTAAATCTTGACCTCCATGGTTTTGGGCGCGTCGCCGTGCTCGAGGACGCGCTGGAACATGACCTCACTGAGGGGCACCATCTCGCGCTTGAAGTGGGCAAGGTTCGTGTTGCTGGTGTAGTCACGGAGGATGGGAAGCATCCAGGCGCGGCCGGCCTGGCCCTTGACGGGCTTGACCAGGTTCAGCGGCAGCACGGAAAGGACGGCCTCGGGACCCATGGCGCGAACTGCCTGACCAATTACATCGTCAGCCTCCTTCTTGTTGCGAAACGATGCGTTTTCGCGAATCTCGCCGATAGTCTCGGTGACACTGAGTAGAATCGGGTTGGCGCGCCAGCGCAGCGACAGGAACATGGCGGCTAGGACATTGAAGGTCTGAAGCCAGGCGGCCTGGAATTGGACAGTCAAAAGAGACTCGGCCGTCTTGGCAATCTTTTCGAGTGTCTTTTCGTCGTATATTGAAGGATCGACGATGACTTGCTGAGGAACGCAGTTGGCCATGAACGAGATGAGGCACTCCGAGGCGGAGATGCGAATGTTTTCGGACTGTGATTCTAGAAACTGTGCAACCATTTTGAAGAGTTCTGGCAACTTTTGAAAGGTCTCTTCGGGCTCGAGCTGCGCAGAGACATCGTATCCTCGGGAAAGAATGGCCAGCCAGGGCGGGACCAGTTGTGTGTCGTTGGCGGCCGGTCGCAGCTCAGAAATGATTTCCATGAGACGGGGAAGCTTGGCTGATGACACTTCCTCGCTCATGCCCTCAAAAATCATTTCGAAAATCTCGAACGCAGCCATGGTCATGTATTCGTTGCCAGCCTTGGCGATGTTGAGGAGCAGTTCGCAGAGCGACTCAATCTTTGTACTCGGCCAGCCGCCGCTCGCCGCCGCCACCGTCTTGACGAGCTGCAGGGCGTGGATGAGCTCGGGATCGTGCGCCGCGGCGGCGGCGACCTTTTTGCCTTTGCGGGCGCTCATCGCCGCCGCCGCGAGCTCCTCGAGGCTCTTGAGCGCCGTCTGGGCGCACATGTCGGCGGCCGGGTGGTCGAGGGCCGGGCTCGGAGGCGGGTTGCGCAAGACACGCTTGAGGGCATCTTGGGCACGCTTGCGGATCTTGGGTCGAGGCGTCCGTGCGAGGTTGAGCAGGCCGGCGACGGCGCGGCGCGGGCCAACCTGCGCAACCGACAGCTCCCACGCGGCGGCGTCCTGCGCGAGCAGCAGCGATTCTAGACAGCCAATCGACGTGCGAAGAAGCAGTGGCTCCGCGTCGTCGGCCATTAGCAGCACCGGCGCCAGCAGCGTGAGAATCGTGGTGAACTTGGAGCGCAGCAGCGCCTCGGGGGTGTATGGTGTGACGACGTCGAGTAGGTAGATGGCCGGCATGGCCAGCTCCGTGTTGACGGTGCCGCTGCTGTTGGCATTCTGGAGTAGAGCGAGAAGTGCGGCAAAGTATCCGGTCGGCGTAGGCGCAGTGTTTTGTTCCTTCAAAGTCGACTCGACAGCCTTGAGCACAACAACCGTCTATCAAAGATGTCAGCAGTCGGGCCGTAATATGCAGTCTGGAATTTGGCTTACACGTTGCTGGCTCTGCAGACCGGGCGATTTGATCTTATCAAGCTTTTCAGCCAAAGATGGCGTCGCCATCTTGTCCGAAAAGTATAGTTGATCGATAACCAGTAGAGATTGGTGATATTTCTGTCGGTCAGAAGGCACTTCAAGCCAGGCCCAAATTTTTTGGTGCACCATCCAGAAAAAATTCCTTATCGGCAACTCCCCGCCAGCGATAAGATCCGTCCATGTGTCTTTCCTTTGGTGTGGAGTTGTCTAGGTATAGCGAGTACATTAGCCGAGTTATCGCTGTACCCGAATGAACCTCACTACCTACCTACCCACCTAGGTAGTTTGCTACCGGTAGCCACACAGACCTAGGTAGCCGCTGTTCGTGTGCTGCGGCGGCGCTGTCTACGTAACCTGCAGCGAACTCGTCACTCAGCTGCCCCTCCAGCCTCACCGTTGAACCTAGCAGAGCTCCGGCGACTTATCATCCAACTCCGACCTGCCCGCCCGCCCAAACCCCCAACCGCGCCGCACGATTTGCTGCAGCCCCTAGCTGCATAGGGAGGAACAGGACACGATGGCTTTTCTAATTCTCGTCCTGGGCGATGTCCACATCCCCGACCGAGCTCTCGACTTTCCCGCCAAGGTAAAACAAACGGCCGTCGCCGTCGCCGTCGCCGTCGCCGCCGCCGACGACGACGACGACCGCAGGCCCTCTCTCACGCGAAAACCACAACCGCTGACAACAACAACAACTACCCCCGTTTACAGTTCAAGAAGCTCCTCGCGCCCGGCAAGATTGGCCAGACGCTGTGCCTCGGCAACCTGACCGACAAGACCACGTACGAGTACCTACGGTCCATTGCGCCCGACCTCAAGATCGTCAAGGGCCGGTACGACGTCGAGGCCACGTCGTTGCCGCTGACGCAGGTCGTCACGCACGGCGGCATCCGCGTCGGCCTCGTCGAGGGCTTCACGCTCGTCTCGAGCGAGCCCGACATCCTCCTCGCCGAGGCCAATCGCCTCGACGTTGACGTCCTCTGCTACGGCGGCACCCACAAGTTTGACGCCTTTGAGTACATGGACAAGTTTTTCGTCAACCCGGGCAGCGCCACCGGCGCCTTTCTCAATGGCTGGGGCGACGACGGCGAGGGGTCGACCCCGAGCTTCTGCCTGATGGATGTAGGTGGTCGTGTTTTTTGCGTTTGGCTGTGGCAAAGGGTGGATGATGGGTTTTTTGTGCTAATTCAAGTCTAGGTACAAGGCATCTCGCTCACGTTGTACGTCTACCAGCTCAGGAAAGACGAGCAGGGTAACGAGACGGTCGCGGTGGAAAAGGTCACATATACAAAGCCGGTCCCCCAAACGGGGAATGCGTCATAGTCAAGATAGCGACGCGGGTGTGGAACTTGAGGTCCTGTGCTAGCGAACACCGGCCAGACAAAGTGCAGTGCAGGACTGCACCGATTATATCATGATATGCACAGAATCAGCATGAAAGAGCCTGCTGACTGGAAGAAATTCCCGCCATGTTGATGATCATGGCAGATAGCAATTGCGCAATAATAACGCACGTACGACACAGAGGAGCTTAGGGAGAGAAAAATGTAAATAAAGCCATTGTTAGAAAATGCTGCTGCTTTGGTATCTTGGCATCAAACATGAGAGTTTTGCTCTGTGAACTGCGCCCATGCAAAAAACAAGCGAAAATGAAAACAACCCAAGAGGGATACAAACAATCCACGCGGGATTCAAACAATCCAAACAATTCAAGAGGGATCCAAACAAGCCAACAATTCAAGAGGATCCAAACAGCCCAACAATCCAAGAGAGATATAAGCAATCGAAGAGGGATATTCCAAAGGTAATACCCCATCCAAAGCGCCCATGAAGAAAACAACCGAATCAGTCCAGCCTTCCCGGAACAAGAAAAGTGAAATCAAAACGCCCAATGCTGTCTTTATGCCGTTTCCAAATTCAAACCCAATTCTCCAAATTCAAACCCAAGCTTACAAATTCAAGCCAAGCATCCAAATTCAACTCCAAGTCTTGAAATCCAAGCCCAATTTTTCCAAATCCAAACGTCATTATTATAGCCAATTTCGTGCTAGACCATCATGCTCCGTCTTCGTGTGGTGATATGGCTGACGACACCATGATCCTCATTATCGGCGGCCGATAGTCTTCGTGGCGCAGTGGTTCTGCGCCCGCTTCGTCGTGTCAGATACCCGGAGCTTTCTTCCGTGTGCGGTGACGAGCTACTAAACTCGTAGACGTCACTCTGCTCGCTCGCTGGAGAAGCTTGGCGCGAACTCCTTTGTCGACGATTAGCCTGCACGGTTGACGGCAGTTCATGTGGCAAGGATGAGTGGCCTGCTGCAACGCGGGCTGGTGCACTCTCTGTAGATACATCAGAGCTTCGCGGGCGCGTAATGTACTTTCTGAAGGAATCTGAGCCGGTCGACTCCCTCTTGACGTCGCCGGTAGAGATTTCAGAGTGACTGAAGCGCCTGCTTTTGCCCTCGCCGGAAACCGCGTCAAATGTCTCGTTTCTCGGTCGCCTCATCTTGTCCCTCAGATTGGGCTCGGCGTAGCTGATGGCTGGTCTGCTTCTACGGCTTGGTCTGGACGTCTCACCTTGAGAGCCAATATCCGTGGGGGGTGGGGTATCTCCTTTGTTCTTCCTGTAACCTACTGAAGGTTCAGGTGAGCAAGAGGTCACAGTGGCTGGTGGAGGCGATGATGTCTCTGTACCTGTATCCAGACGCGAGGGTTCTATCGTAGCCACGACCGGAAGAGCTGCTTGTTGGGCGAGCCTTCTTTCGGCTGCCGCGGCTAGAAAAGCCCTTAATTTTTCCGCGCTGACACTGGCACTTTCTGTCTTCTTTCCCGTCTTTTTCAAAGAGCTACTTTCGTCGACGGATGTTGTTCGACGCTTCTTGGGCGACTGAACATCATCGTTTGTGCTCTTCTTTGCTAATGGTACCCTCGCCGCATTTCTCGCGGCCTCAGCACGGGCAGCTTCTCGTCGTCCGGCGGCAAGTTCCCTGAGAGTCTTGCCACGTGCGTTCTCAAGAAGAGAAGCTTTGTTGATTGTGGTCCGCGGAGGTTTATTCTCGTCTGTGATGTGTTCCAATGTCATGGGCTCGTAATCATCCCGGTTGAACTTGCGCTTCGTTCCAGTCTTAAGGGGCGGTGCGATCGGTGTGTCCGGGGTGGAATCGACATGGACCCGAGTATCTCTAATCATCGGAGTCATGCTCTTTGTGGGTGGTACAGAGCCAATGCAAAGGTTGTCGAGGTTTGGTGATGACACCACCAACGGTGAGGAGTCGAGCTCACCAGAAAAGTTACGGATTCTGGATTCGCGTGGTGTCGTGTCAGCCTTGGTCGACTGTTGGCCGATGGAGGCAGGAGCAGGGAGTTCTGGAAGTAGCTCATCGTAGTCTGCATCGGGTCGTGAAGCTCGAATTTGATCGGAGCTTGACATGTTAGCAGTGGGTGAGGATTCCAAGTCGGGCAACACGTACTTCATGGACATGCGCGAGTATGCTTTGTGCTCGGCAATATGACCGAGTTGCTCGATGTCGTTTGCGACATCCCGAAGACGCCTTTGCGATGGGCTAGGACGAGTAGCAGTGAAGTTCATTCTGCCTGTGGCGACATCTGCAGCGCGTGGCCACTGCCGCTTGATTGGGGGCTCCTGCCCCAGACCAGCGACGAGGGTGCTCCATTCCGCGAGCTGAGCTTCGAGTTCCTTCTTGATGGTCAGAGCATGATCTTGGCGGGCATCATTTTCGTGACGCTCTTGCTCGAGCTCAACGATGTAGCCGCGGAGCTTGAGATTCTCGGTGAGGGCATTTGATAGCTCGCTTTCGAGTTCTCGTATGCGCAGGGCTCGGACGTTGTTGGTTTTGGCAAGTTCTCTATTTTGGCGAAGCATTTTCTTGCGAACTGAACATTATTCAAAGTTAGTACCAAGGCGTCGCATCAAGTTAGTGGAGGGGGGTCGCACGATTCTCGATGGTGCTGTCTGTTGACAGCGCTGGCTCATTTAGTCTGGCCATTTTGCCTGACCAGCAGCGATAGAGCAGGCGGCGATGTGTGAATTTGGTTTCTGTAGCTAGAGGTATTTAAAGCTTACAACAGCCTGCTTTGCTTTTGTGTATATCGGTGCGAGCGCGAGCAGAAAAAACGTTGGATGGAATATCAACCAAGTGTGCAGATCGAAGATGCAGTCAGGAAGGACAAGGCTTGGGTAGCGTTGCGTGTTCACCATTGGCTAAGTTGGGTGGGGCACAGGAATTGATGTTGGTTGTCCGGGCAATGGGGTGTTGGGCACGTGTGTCCGCTGTAAGCCCGCCAGAGGCCGACCCATAGCGCTGTCAAACCCACTCAAGCTCGCTAAAGCTCGCTGAAGCTACCGAGAAGCGCAAACACGGCCACTCAATTAAAGTTCTTACGCGACGCGTACCGATCAGAGGCGAGACCGCTGACTTTGCACCTCGCCGTCATTGCTATCGCCATGTCATATCCTACGCGATCTCTTTCGACTCATATGCGTGCCCAGAGTGGCATTGGTGCCCCCTCCGGTCAGCAGTCTGCGCTCTCCGCTCGAATCGAGGAAAAACGCGCGGAGCTGGAGCATCTTAAGGAGCTCAAAGACCTCAGCGGAGCGGTCGCATCGCAGATGGAGGCTCTAGAGCAGAAGCTGTCCACGTTGACGGATGGAACAGAAGGTAATTTCGGGCCGAGTGGTTACATTTCTGTACTGACGCTGTGTAGCTATCGCAGCCGTGATTGGCAACTGGCACAACGTCTTGGGTGCTATTAACATGGCATCGAGTAAGTGAGGTTTTGACTATGGCATTTCAATCGCTAATTGTCGCAGCAAAACTTGCAAAGCCAGCATCTGCGCCCGTAAACGAAGACGAGCCCGAAGATGACGGTCCACTCCCAGAGACGCTTGTACGAATTCCTACAGAACACGCGCCGACGCTGCATGCTCAAACAGAGAATATGGAAGCGGCAGCGGCTGAGGATGCATCTATGGCAAGCCCATGATGCACTTGCCATGAGGACATTTTCGGCCGAGTGGACGGGTGAATACACCTAGTTACTGGTCAACTGCGTGGCCGATGTGGCCTGAAAACGAGCAATAATGACAGCGCATGTTTCCATGCACACGGCTATACCGATACTTATGTGTTCTTGGCATATTGGTTCGCTGGCTGTGCATGAATGACAATTTGAGCATGACAAGCACCAACGAAAGCCGGCGGGGCTGTTTGCTGGCCAAAGAAGATACAGTTGGTCACACACCGCATTACTTTTAGAGTAAGTTTCGTTGGATTCCAGAGCAGCTAGCAGCCAGTCGTTGGCAATTCGCTTTTGAGGGGTCTACCCGTAACTACCTGCGGATTACTGTCAGGCAGTTGGCAGTTGTCGGCTACTTTTAGCGTCCATGGTCAACGCGGGCATGCGGGGCATCGACAGCAGGGAACAAACAGCGAGACGAGCATGCATGCAGGGGGAAGAGAGGGAGAGCCAGGTGCTGCAGGCAGAGAGGCCAGTCAGAGTGTGCCACGGGCCACGGGCCACGGGCTTGATCACTATCAGCCCTGAACCAGGGTCATCGGCTTCCAATGAATTATACGAAGTATGGTGGCCTCGACCTTTTTTTTTAGCGACGAGGCCGCCTGCACAGTGGCCAAGCACGGGGCAGGCGTGGAAGGAGCAGCTAAGTTAGTCTGCATTCGCGTTGCTCCATGTAAATAGAACCGGAAAGATGCCAAAACAAAACAACGCCACCAACCCAAATCAAAACATTTTCCCTTGCATCAGCTTTTTAATCTCTGCAGAACCATAGGCTTGCATTGCTTCGCAAATTCTATTCTCTTCAAGTTCTCGGTTGCCTTTAGAATTGCCTTTTTCAATTATTCGCTTCAGCTCATCGCGCCAGGGCGACTCCCCTCTTCCAGCGTACCTCTTCTGCCGATCCGCGAAATTACAAAAGGACCGCCCTTGGCCCCATTGAAAGCCACATCGAACCCCTGGCTGTTACAGCTTCTTTGCAGGGATATCTGCCCAGTTCGGAGCTTCTGGAGCAAAATGCCCCCGGCTCGCCCTGATAGCATCCGCCCCTGCCATACCCACAAGACTGCCTTTGACATTCTTCAAGACACTGACAGCAAGCTTCACTTATATCCTCCTGCTGACAAGGAACTCAATTCCTTTTCCCGCGCTCTTGGTGAACTCGCCATACCCAATAGTCAAAATATTCCTCTGATAAGGAGTGGCTTGGATTCAAAGCTTGTCAAGCCCCAAATTGAACAGCACGTTCCGCGTCTCCAGCGACCTGCCTTGAGCGCCCATACGTTTGAGCCTCTGGCTGCGCTCGACGAAAACAGTGACACGACGTTTGCGCAGCAAAAAGCCGAAGGTACCTAGTGTTGACGCGTCGCATTCGTAGCATTCACTAATTCGTCTCAGCGACAAACAACACCACCCGCAACACCCCCACACACGCCGCGCCTGAACCAACTCTGCGAGAACAGGTTCAGAAGCATCTTGCAGGTCAGTTTAAATGGCTGATATCATGTCCAGCGCAACCGAATTCAGACGATCCGCATCAGCCACGGTTTCATGGCCGCAGTCGCCAATCTGAATCGGACGGGGCTATGCTTTTCGGCTGCAACCTGCTGCACTGCGCATCGAGATCAGGACCTATTCAGCAGGTATCAACTCAACAGCCGCAAACTAACAGAGTTACCCTTTTAGCAACACCAATCACCGGTACCCAGTCAAATCCCACCATGTCGTGGGATCAGCAAAATGCCCCTCCGCCGTATCGGGGTGCTGCCCTCAAGGTGCCGGAGGTGGTGGACATGGTTGAGAACGCGCTTTCTCCCGCCCTTTCAGGCATCTCAGACCCCAGTGAAAGCCTTGCGGGAAGCTCTAGAACTGGTTCCTTTTCCATGCCGCGCATTGAAGACTCGCTTGAGGAACTTGATAGGCTCGAGGAGCAACTCGAGGCCGTCGGTGCACTGGCGAAAATCAAGCCAGCCGCCCCCAGTGATGTGGTCAGGTCGCCTGCCGCCACGTCTGCTCGCGGCTCACCCTCTGTTCAATCCATCACAAAGCGCACTTCTATGATGAGCCTCAATAGCAAGACCAGTGAAAAGTCTTTGCAACGGTCTGCTTCCATGACACTGCGTCAGAAGAACCGCCAACCCACATCGCCCCCCACCAGGAATGTCGGCAGTCCAGCTAGCAGCACACCAACTAGATCGCCAAAATGCAAATCTACCAAACCACCAACGATTCCCAAGTTTGAACTGCCTGGCGAGGCTGTTGCCCGGCGACTAAAGGAGCAGCGCGAGGCCCGCCAAGCTGTTCTCGAAAAGAGTCAAAAGGTCAATGCTGCACCTGCCAAGCTGCGAACCGTCACAAAGCCTTCTTTCGAGTTGCCTGGGGAGGCAATTTCTCGCAGAAAGAGGGAGCAGCATGAGGCGAAGCTGCGGGCCGAAGAGGAAGAAATGCGAAGGAAGCGAGAATTCAAGGCCCGCCCTTTTCGCAATAGCAGTGCTCCGAGCGTAGTGCCTCGCGAGACCATTGCTAGCCGGGCACGGCAGGCCAAGTTACAGGAGGAGGAGGCTAAGGCTAAGGCTGCAGCTACAGTCCGAGGCAAGAGACTCTCGGCCGTCCCAGGACAGGTATCCGCGGCACCAGGCACCGTCAGGAAGACTAGCGCCCCGACTCCGGGCCAAAGACCTGCTTCTTCCTTGGATGCGGCTCATAAGACAGCGCGTCGCCAAAGCACCCTTGGTCAGATTAGCGCGCCGAGACTGCGACCCAACACAGCTCAGGACACGGGAGTCAAGACTGCCAGGGAGCAAGCCGCTGAACGCTCTAGAGCCGCGAGTCGCGAGTGGGCAGAGAAGAAACGACGCCAGGAGCTGGCACAGAAGGAGATGCAGCGTCGCGATGTGGCCAGCTAAAAACGGTCTGTGGCCCGATTGTGAAGTTTTTTCTTTGCATGTTTGACTGCCTTGGAGACGGTCTCAGCAGAGCAAAGGTGCGCACGTGTTGGCGTTTGAGTCTGTATCGAATATCTTGTGTAGTCGGGGCAATTGGCCCACAATGTTACATTAGCATGTTTAGTCTATTGGTTTATACATGGTACAGATTGTCCAGGAACGAGGTTTTCCCCTTTTGATCTACAAAGACATGTGGCTTGCAGTGCACAGAAGCAGAAGTACTGGCTGGGTTGCAGTGCGACGTCTCTTGCAAAGTCTTGTAGCTGCTTCCGACATGCCGTCCTACATGGGATCGGGTTGATCCATGCAGTGCCAACCCTTTCAAGATGTCGTATGCCAGGCACGCCATGTCCGACCCTTCATCGTATGCTGTACTCCTTTGGCTCTGTATCAATACCGTCAATGCCACACATGGATAAATCTACGGCCTTCTTCTTCACTTGCACCAAGAGTTCAATCCTGACTAGAATAATTTGATACTTTTTTTTTGTTCTGCTCTTGGGTACTAAGTCAGCTACCAATTACTATACTAGTATATATACCACATCCCCCCTCCCCTCTCTCTCTCTCTGTCCTTTCTTCATCATTCTCCCATCTCTTCATCCAACGAAATCCGAATTATAACAGATAAGATCAGCAAGGTTATAAATCAGAAAATGAAAAGAAAGAAAATTGCACATGCAAAATGCAAGCAAGAAAAAAAAAGGGAAATTAAAAAAAAGGTCAAAAATTCCTGGATTGAGGAATATTCAAGAACAAGTTGGTATTGTCTTCTTTTGTGTGGTCCACCTAAAACAGAAAAAAAAAAGAAAAAGAAAGGACCGAGTTCTGGCCAGGAATATATTCAATGGCCTAGGCAAAAGCTCAAAAAGGCGAGTTTTTAGGCCAACAACAGAAAAATTGTTGGGGACGGAAAGCCCGCAGGGACTAAAGTAGTAAATACTCAGCACCATATGTATCATCTGCGGGAATTCCATCTCCTTTTCGCGTAAAATGAGTGCCTTGTTGACCTTACGTCAAAGAGAAAAAGAAGGTCGCGGATTGCCGTCTAGTAACTGCGTTGTAGGGGTCCAGCAGCCCCGTCGTGTGTGTGTGTGTGTGGCATCTGGTAGGAGAATGCATAATCGAAAACGTACAATGATGGTTGCTAGGTGTACAAATGACAAGGAAAAGTAGGTCGTGGCAAGTTGGAAACGTGATCAAAAATTTTGAGCAATACCCGCGCTCTGCTGGGGGAAGTGGGACGTGTTTTCGATCTGGGTGTTGCGTCGTGCGGGATTATCGCGAATGACGGCACCACCGTCACCGTAGGCGCCCTGGCTGTACTGATCGTAATAGGCGGCAGGGCCACCACCGTACAAGCCGCTGTCGGAGCCCTCGGAACGGCCAGTGGCACTATAGGAAGACGATGCGTTGGAGGGCCCGCGGCGGACGTCGGCGCGGTTGTTGGCGGCCGAGGGACCCATGGCGCCAAGAATCTCGCCCTCTTGAGACGAGTTGCCGTCATGGCCGTCGTGGGGAGCACGAGCCGTGGTGGCATCGGAAAAGGCACCGGGGTTGGAGAGCGTCGTCGAGGCCTTGCGGCCGACGGAGCCAGCAGCAGTGGTCGAGCCCCAGCCGCGATAGCCGTTGGAGGTATCCTCGCGCATCTCATAGCCATTGTCGCCGCCAGCGCCGCCGCCGACGAGGCCGACGGCGGGGATGGTTGGGTCGGCGTTGGGGTTGTACGAGTAGTCCTCCACCTCCTTGCGGCGCTCTTCTTCGGATTCGAGACGGGCCTTGCGCTTCCTCCACCAAAAGAGGCCAATGACGGCAAGAATAGCAATGGCGGCAATGGGGACGACGACGCCGATGGCAACCTTGCCAGAGGAGCTGAGGCCGCCGCCGCTGCTGCCGCCAGAAACGGGAGTGGGGCTCTGCGAGGGGGTGCTCGTGGTCGAGGAAGAAATTGACCTGCCGGTGGTGGTGGAGGTGACAATGACGGTCGATGTCGATGTAGGTGTCAGGCTGGTCTCAACAGTCGTGGTTGGGGGGTTTGGGGCGGGCGTCGGCGTGGTGCTTGGAGCGACGGGAGTCGAGCTTGGAACGGACGGGGCTGGCGCCGGCGTCGATGTCGATGTCGAAGACGGCGCAGGCGCAGGCGCGGGCTCAGGAGTTGACGGAGGTGGCGCGGCCGACGACGACGAGGGAGGAGGAGGAGGAGCGGAACTCGACGGGGGCGGAGGAGCACTGCTTGACGGCTGGGAGGGCGCGGGCGCCGTTGTGCTGGGCGCGGGCGCGGGCGCAGGCGAGGGAGTCGGTGTGGACTGGCCGGCGGTAGATGGCGGCTCGGTGCCGGTGCTGGGAGTGCTGGGAGTGCTGGCCGGAGGAGGCTGCGAGGTGCTGTTGGCGTCGCCAGTGGTTCCTCCGGTGCCAGACTGGGCCTGTCTCACCGCGAGGCTCAGGTTGCCTTTGCCGCCATCCCAGGCATACTCGGCAGGAGGCATTTTGAGGTTGGGGGCGATGAGCCTGAGAGGAAGCATGGTGTCAGCAGAGTCGGGATGGAGTGAGTGAGCAGAAACAAAAGAGTTTGTGTAAATGGCGGCGGTGCAATGATGGAAACTGGGCGCGGAAACGTAGACAGCCGTGGTGGAGCGGTGCACAAACTCAAATGCCAACGTGAGGCTCGTTTGGCGGATCAAGTCGGGGGGGGAGGGACGAAGTTGGAGCTTCAGGAGTGTGAATTGCCAGGAACCGTCATGAATGGGACTGTCCAAAGATTGCAAGTTGTCGAGACGTCATGACGCGGCCTTTTTGGCAAACGCAGCGGAAACAAGAATCACACAGACAAAAGTACACGAGGCAAACAGTGTCGCATCATCTCTTACCTTGGCAGGCTGTGGTTTCGTCGGGGGTCAGGGTCCCAGGGGAATTTGGCGGACGAGGTTGAAGAGGGAGATCCCTCGCAGGAGGGATTTGCGGCCGATGGTGTCGTAGGGTCGTGTTATCGAATGGATTAGGCGAGGAGAGGGTGTTTTGGGGGATAGAGATGTTGTGATGGGGAGAAAGGGCGAAAGGCTTTTTCCAGTGCTTACTCGCTGCTGGTACAGACAGGGATTTGATGGTGAGTGAGTGGATTGGCAGTGGGTGGGTGCCAGAGGTATTGGTAGGTACCAAGAAGCAGGGAAGTCGGCGGCAAGATGATGGATTGATGTGCAGTGGGCACGGATGGGCAACGGATGATTATGATTACTTGGGTGCATCTAGCTGCATTTGGTTGCAGTGGATGGCTGCATTCAGAGCTATCGTGGTGCTCGCAGCATTCAGCAAGCAGCGAGTAACACGAGGTGGATGCACCACCAGAGGACAGGCCAGTCACCAGTGGAGGTGACGCTAAACTAATACTGGGTACCTATTGTCTCGGTGTATTATTACGTCGACCAGGACTGCGACAGCAGAAACCAAGCCGGACCTGGTGTTGACTTTTTTGTTTCTTCTTTTTCCTGGCCAGAAATAAAGCCGGAATAGGTCAAATGGCCGTCGACAGAAGCTGTGCTACGATACACGTCGGCCTTTTAGTTTTTACGTAGCTGCCGACTTGTTTGGTTGCCCCTGAAGCTGGTTAGTCGACGCCACTTAATTGAAAAAGGCACTAAAAAACACGAGGTCTACAGTAACGTTAGCGCCGGGCGCGCCACTTACTGGTACCGAGTGCGAGTCAAGCGAGTTCAGAATTGTTTCCCAAAACGTTGCACAGACCTGAGACCAGCAACCAAGACAGGTCGCATTCTGAAATATTCAAGACAGAAAAGTCCCTACTCATCCTTTGTCGTTTTTATCGAGGATCTCTCTCTCTCTCTCTCTCTCTCTCTTTTGTTATT